TCTAAACCAGGTTTGTTGTTTTTAAATCTGTAATTGCTTAAAGTATTCTCGTATCTGTAGGGCCAAAACGAAATCTATAAATTTCCTTTGCTATTTTCAGACTTTATGGACACCCCGTATATTTATTGCTGGCTGGGGGTTCCAAATGAGGTCAAATATGCATTGTGTTTGGTACAGTTAGACTCGCTATCTTTCTAAAGCTGTGACGAATTAAGTCTGGTTCTGCCAGAGAAAATCTGGAGTGAGAGCTGCCTATTACATCAAGTTCATAACTAAATCAGTTTGGGTCGAAATTCAGGGATGGCCAATTCGAATAAAGTATTCGAATATCGGAATTCACGTTCATAAGAATGTCGGATATTTGTGTGACGTCACACATTTTCGACGCCGCTTTGAAGACGTTTCCGTTGAATGAAAACATTCTCGATAGAAACTTGCGCGTGATTGTTTTCATCACTCATCAGCGTAACGTGTTATTTAGGCCCGTAAACGCCTTTACGATTGTGTTATTTACTCTAAAACGAAAATTTTCCACAAATTTGTTCCAAGATAACTATAACATTTATTTTATTTTTGTACGCGCACGGAATTGTGAATCTGGTAAATACGTTCATCGGCGGCGAGTTTCTAAAGACAACGCAACTTTTTGATTGAAAAGCGGCAATTTAGAATACTGAAAATAAAACCGTAAACAATATAAGTTTTATTGAGGCCGCGAAAATTTGAAAAACTCTTTTCCAGGCAGTGAAAATCTCAAAATTTCGTGTGCCTCTGGCACAAATGTTTGGTCGGCGTTTAGAAACATATCGTCACTAATTGAGGGCGGGATTTGCCTGATTATCCATTACTTTAAATTGCCGTCGAATATTTTCATGTTAACACAATACAAGGTTTGAAACGCGACTTTTTCCCGGGTTGTGAGGATGTATATAATATAATTAATCTAAAGTATATTCAATCAATTTTATTGTGATAAAATAAATTTTACTCTGAGATATTACAGCATATTTATGGATTTCTCGAACAGTTTTATCTAAAAATAATCAGAGTGGCAGCATTTCGATCGAGCGGAGTCACTGTTAACAAGTACATCTAAATATCTGCCGAATTCGCAAAATACGGATCAAAACAATATTTAATCGGACAGTTTACCTCACGTTTTTATTTTTATGACCGCGGATTGCAATGGTATATAAGAGTGGTGAGGATTTTATTTTGTCGACGCAACCGCAGGTTAATTTGAAGACAATTAAATTAATAAAGCAAGACATTTTAAATATGCCCGTGTCGGTCACGAATTCATCACTTTGCACAACAGAAAAATATATATTCGTTGTTATATTATTTGTTTTAAAAGTCGAGGTGGCATAATCGCGGCGAAGAATATGTATTTTTAATTTACTGCTAAACTTTATATGTATATTCATTGAATGAAATGAATTATACTCTACACTTAACAGGATTTTATATAATTATTTGAGATTTTTCTAACGGCGATAACGAGTTGGCAAGATTGCAAAAATACGTATTGAAATTAAATACACCAGGCTAATCTACATCATCTAATTTTAGGTCACAGATCGCCGTGGACCAAATAGTAATGTTTTTTTTTTGGCGTAAGAAGAAGCAACCGCGAGTTACGTTGGACATATTAAATTAATATATAAAGATATTTTAGATCTCGTAGTTGTCATGGATGGAATATTTTACGTAACAGAATGATCATTATACGCTGAAAAGACGGCTCTTTTAACGAGCGCGAAATCGCGGTGGGTGTTACAGGCGGCAATGGGAATTTCCGATTTCGAAAATCCTGGCTGCGCGCTGGCAGTGGTGGTCATCTATTCTCTACTAATTTATTTCTAATTCCAAACACAACATTATGTTACACATAATAACAATATATTGGTGGGTAGTAGAATACCTCAGGCCTAAATATTAGAATTTTTAAATGCATAATGGATTTCCGATTGTTGTTGCCTGTATTGCCAATAAATTTTATTACTCTCAGAAAATATACACAATTATCTGAATACAAGTAGTATTTTTGTCAATAGACTTGACTATTATCGTAATATCATGGTACCAATGATAGAAAGCGTCAGACAACTCCTTGGCTATTATTTCATATGGCCATTTGTACAAAGTGAATAATGTTAATAAACTGACTGTGTCACAAGTTGCTATTATTTTTTATTGATAGCTATAAACTATCAATTACTTTGTGTACATATACTGTTGGTTTGTGGCTTCATTCTGATATTTCTATTGAAGCTTATTTCCTAATTTACTGGGTTTTAATCAACTAAAACAAAAATGTGTTATTTTCGATTTTAGAATGTATTCGGAATTCCAGATTCGAAAACATTATTTTAGAATGTATTCGGAATAGTTTAGTATTCGGAAATGGCCATCCCTGGGTCGAATAGAACAGGAGTGTTGAACATTTTTTGTAGGCGGGGCACATAACGAATTTTGACAGTTAGCTGGGCCACACAAAAGAAATAAGTTTTTCGGTGTGCGTCTCGAATTGAAAGATTATCGACAATCCTAGCGGTGCGGAAAAGGAGAGAGGGCGGCTATCGATTTACAGCAAGTAGTAATAAAGGCATCTGGCAAAACGGCGAATAATTTCACCCAGTGACAAGAGCAAAAAAACGGTATTACCTATGTAAGTGCCTTTCTAAACATGCACTTTCGGATTAGGATATTATGCTTGATGGAGAAAAGTCTTCTTTGACAAGGGTCACAATAAATGGCTTGGTGGTCCTGGATTGAAAATTGTTGTATTCGGCATCATTAGTTCGTTCATTGTTATGTTGTAAGAATATTTTGGCTTAAAAATCTGATTAAGTTTTTGTCATTCGAAAAACCTGTCCCAAGGTAATCAGGCCCTTGTCAGGTTTTATCGACTTTTTTAAACTCTATGGCACTGGGCTCTGATGAGTTGAGAACTAATGGACTTTGGAATTCACTACATCAGGGTGTGCTGAGCGAAGTTGTTTCTAAATCTGAACTAAGGTTTGTGCAGTGCCTTGGAGTTTCTCTCCAGAGCCGGCCCGCGACGAGATTTTGACCGGTCCGCTGACTGTACATCAGTACATTATGATATTACATTATTACTTATCGATTTTAGTCTATAAGTATGTTGATAGGTATTTGCCTGTCTGTTAGATGCACGCGATATCTCACGAAAGCGAGATTAAATCTGCTCCAGATTTTGAATGTGCGTTCATCATATGTCGGACCAGAAGCCTATTGATTTTGGATGAATTATGTCGTATAATTAGTGAGTTATTAATTAATTAGACGCAAGGTGTCACTATGGAGTAAGAGCGCTGTTTTGGGGGATTCCCTAACTTTCGATCGATAAGTCTTGGGTCTCTGACCGATATTCTCGTTACACTTTTAGCAGATTATGATAAATTCATTATGTGTTTTTTGGTCTCAATTTTTTTGTAAAGTTTAAACTTTACTTTAAACGTGATTTATAATTTTCTTTCTTGCATTAGCGAATAAATATGTGATTAAGATATTGAATACTGTTCATGTAATAATCCGGCCCACCGAGGACTTCATTTTCCCACATCTGGCCCGCCGACTAGAGAAGTTTCCCACCCCTGGTCTTGAATATGTTTTCATGCTCACCTAGCTTTGCTGATTGTTGAAGTCTTGAATCGCAATCTAAAATCAATCCTGTAACATGGTTGGTTATTTTACATGGTCTTGTGGTTCGCGACTTCCTCTGCCATCAATTTTGAAACGAATAACTGGCTGAGTAATCCCATACCCGACATGGACCGAATGAGAGGCCGTGGTTCGTCATATGATTAGGCCGTCTTAGTGTCTTTTCTCTTCATAAATATGAAAATCATATCATCTGCGGCCAGCCTGGGCATTTCTGATTACGTAAGTTTGCATCCATGTGTAATTAATTATCTGCCTGACTGAAGCATATTTGGCTCGTTATGGGACTCTTCGCTGGCCGAATATGGTTTGACATTTTACGGCCTTGTACCCTCAGTCCCTTACCCAACCTTATATTCATGTAGCCAGTCGGCCGTTTCCAAGATAAATATAAAATTCTACTCCACCAATCCATTAAATAAAATTTTTTAATCTTTTCCTGGTCAATCCGGCAATGAAAAAGAGTAATGAAACTCTCCCACAACCTTTCGTTTTGCCAATCTCTCTTGGTTCACAATGGTTAAAATAAATTTCTTTGTTGGCTCAATTCAGATTTTATTTGATATACCATATTCAAACAATCTTATTTTAGAATTTATTCCAAGTTGTTGAGTTATTCTATTTTGGCTATCCCTGCTACCTAGATTCATTTCTTTACTGTGATACCTTGACAGTCGAACGATCGACACTCGATTAATATGGTAGTCGGCCAAAAATGCTACGGCAGACTTAACAGAAATTCGGTGCTGGAACACCCAAGCGTATTAAAATAATTATCATTGTTTCTTAGGTACCCCCGTAGTATGTGTACCAGGGCAAATAACCTCATATATTTTGTTGAATCACAAGATTAATTTATGTCATGAGTGAGGTTTAGTCCATGATTCGTTAGTATTAGCAAGCTGTTATTACCCTTTTCTAACATTCTTAGTTTGGTAATTTCACCATTTCAAGAGTATGGTTTTTTACATAATATAACATTGGTACATGCACTTCTAGAGCGCCGTTCCTTATGCCAAAAAGTTGGCGCTCCAGAAGTATGTGTACCGATATGGAGGTAACTAATTTTTTCGCTTGTTTTACATAAAGTTGTGTAAAGGGACTGAAACATATGGGCAGGGGTATATTCACTTGGCTAATGCAGAAAGTCCCCCAACTGGTAATAGTACTAAAAAAAGGAAAATGAAATAAAATTATGGCCTAACCTGGGACACATACTACGAGAGTACGTAAGGTTTGGTACTTGAACAAATTGGTAGTCGAACACCAAAACGAATTGGCCGACTACCGAGGTATCACTGTAGCTATATTCCACAACGAATATTTCCATTAGAAAGCACAAGCACTGCGGCTTAATTTATTGAACAGAAAGAAAATTAATAACACTGGTCATTTGAAACACGATGAAAACAAAGGACTGAAAATGTATATTTATAAATCATTTATTTACTTCCATTCGTCAAAAAAGCCCTCCTCGTGAAACAAAACTTGACGAAAGCCGTGCATCAGAAAGAATGTAAACTAATTAAGAATGAGAAACAGACATTTTAGTTGGTCTAAGACTTTAAGAAACACCCTTTTTAATCCACCAGAAAAGCCCCCCCTCATCTAGAAGTTAAAATTGGTGTAAAAAGCAGTATATCAAAGCAGTACAGTATATCAAAAAAAAATAATACTTAGCAATTCAGTTTTCACAAACAACATTAAACATGAATTGAAAACAAATACAACATGATGAATGCTGTTAGTTGCATCGACTGCTATCGACAGATTTAAATATTTATTTTCATCGTGCAAGAATCAATGCAAAACAAACACAAATAAATATAACAAAAATCGGAAAACATTGAATTTAGCAATTAACGAGGGGTCACGAAACACTCAGTGAGTCATCCAGTCAGAGACACCTTGTTGCTAAGTTTAAAAAGCAAATATTGCAAAGGAACAATTTTTTAAAGAGATCGACTTTAACTACACAATCATGAAAAATAATGAGAAAAACCATTAAGATTCATTTAATATAGATGGCTTGGTCATTTAGCTTCTACAGCAGGAGTTGGCAACTTTTTGTCGCTCGCGGGCCAAAATAATGTTTGCAAGTCATTGGCCGGCCGCACATATTTTTAGAAAGTTGAAAACCGAACAGATGATAGTTTTTATAATAAAAATGAAGCAGTGATACATTTCTTGACTAGGATGTAGATGACGGGCACCGGAACGTAGTATGTGTACCAGGTTAGAGTTAGGCCATAATTTCAGGTACAAATACTACAGTAGTCACTTGGCTAGTCCCCGAACTCGTAATAGAACTAAAATAAGGAAAATTGGAATAAAATTATGGCCTAACCCTAACCTGGTACACATACTACAGTCATGTGTCCCCATCTTGGTTCACATACTATGGGAGAGCCCCGAATTTTTATATAACATGCACACACGCAGGTCCAAACCCCCAAGGGGGATAATTAAGTGCAAGATTTTTATGTGCTACAAAGGCAGGCAACTGCTACATTTTTGAAGTTTATTGCAAAAAAGGTGGATAAAGGAAATGCAAGATTCCATGAAGTTTAATTAATTTCAGTAAGTCAAAAATATTATTATTATTAAAATATATTCGGAATAGTAAATTATTATGTTATTATAATCCCACTATCAACTTGTTATAGTTACGAACAGTGATGTCATAATTCTCCTTTCATTGCTGTTGTGTTGTCACTATCCTTCCCAAACCAGTTGTTGTACGCCAGTAAAGCAGCGTTTTTCGCTGAAATCGCTGACATTTCCATGGCACTGGCAACCCACTCCATAGGGCTGGTATAGTACAATCCAGCAGAGTTTAGAACAAATGATGTGAGCTCCTCTGGTGGCCTATAACAAAAATAAGATTTAGAAATGGATTTTGCATAAAGGAGTGAGCTTTTCAGAATAATTTACTATTGTAGAAGACTTGAATACTGGCTCGGCGGTGTGGCACATCGTGCTAAGCGTTTGGAATATGCTCGCCACCGCATTCTTTAATTACCTTGCGTGGGTTCGCAGGTTCGAATCCCATGCGGGGATGATTATGTGTGAGAGGATTGCTGGACTCTTTGCCACCGTAGGGTAGTTCACGTAATCGCTGGTCGGTTACGGCTTCCTCCACCACAAAGTCCATGCTTCCAAAAACAAATAACTGGCTAACTAATCCCATACCCGACCTGGACTGGTAACCAGACGAGAGGACGTGGTTCGCCATATGATTAAGCCATCTTATCGGCTTTCCTCTCCCCCGGGATAAATATGTAAATCTTAACCTATACAGAAGGTGACTTCTAAGTCCATACAAGTCAGTGGTTCGCAAAGTTGATCGGGGCCAAAATTAGAAGCAGAAGGATACTCGCGGGCCGGGAGAGTGAAGCGCGGGATCGATACAAGTATGTGTAATTAATTATTATTTGCTTTTATTCATGTGATATGGAATTGTTTTTCTGTTTTTTTAATAAAGTACTTTTTTGCATTATTTGTACATTTTATTACAGTACCATACTTTACAATACAGTACGATATGTATAGAGTAATTTATGTACTGTACAGTATAATGTTCCGACTTACACTGAAATTCGGGTTACACCGCGTCTCGAGAACGAAACAACGTCGTAAGTCGAGGACCCCCTGTATATATAAAATCCAAATTTTCTTATTTTACTTACTCATAGACAGGGTATGCCTTCCATACAACAGTTGCTTTCGTGGTGTACGATTCAAATAGGTAATCTCTCTGTTCATCAGTCATTGGATCAGTGGTGAAGACTTTGTACACGGGATCAACCTCGTCTGATGTTGGATCGTAGTCTACGGGAATATGAAGACCAATGCTCCTGTATTGGAAATCAGGGATTATATGCAAAATTTGGCATTGGCGCTCCAGAAGTGTGTGTACCAACATGGAGGTAGCTAATTTTGTTCGCCTACTTTACATCAAGTTGTGTAAAGGGATTGAAACCTATGGTCAGGGGGTTATATTCACTCAGCTAGCACAGACAGTCGCCGAACTCGTCATAGAACTAAAATAAGGAAAATCGAAATAAAATTATGGTCTAACCCTAACCTGGTACACATACTTTGGGAATACTGACTGGGACGCGATGTGCAATTTATATCGGAGTCCAAACCTGAGGCGAAGGTAGGAATTTTCAGACGGAGACGGAGAAGGAGGAATTTCTAATATTGCCAAGTTAGAGTCTTGAGGGCCCAAAAAGTGTCTCTAGCTATGAAAACTTGCTATGTATGATAAAGAAATTTTTTTTACAATGCGACCCTCAAAATCCCTCCGCTGGCTATGCTCCTGGTCCTAACATATATAAACTTATATACCAGTGCTAATATATTAAACTAAATCCGAATCGAAAAAGGGAAATATACTTCGACTTCCAAGCAAACCAAATGTTCAATCACAAAAGCGACTCTCCAACCCAGAAAATTCATAATAATTAGGGCTAGAAATGGTTAACCGATTTTAGATGGTTAACGGTTTCGATTTATTTTAACTGTTAATTGATATCTCGGGTACAAAACATCTTTATAGTGTAAATTTTTTTTTTCAAAATGATTACGTCATCGCAATTTTATTTCCTGTGGCGTTTAATTCAAACGTCACACTGCGGTTAACCGGTTAATTTTATTCGGTTAACGGTTGAAGTGTTTTTCTGAGACTCCCAACCCAGAAAATCCATATTATTATTGCATAAAAAGTCTGTCTGAAACTTGACTCCAATCACAATTGAAGTCCCACACAATAAACAAGTTTTTGATGCCTTTAATTGAGAAACGGTTAAACAAATATCGCTTTACCTGTAGAATGTGTCCTGGTTTGAAACAAGAATTGATCCTGGACAGACTTTCCATGAGTTGCATTTGAATAAACTTGAATTCAATTTGCCTTTCACAAAATTTGCAGTGGTTTTCCTGAAAATAAGGCAGTGTGTTGATCGTGATTCCACACGGTTAGTGAATATATATTCATAGATTCTTCACCAGTGGTTCCCAAACCGGGGGTGATTATCCATAAAGAGGTAATTTGGCAATTTTTGGGAGTAACCCAGACGTTCACTGTTTTAACAATTTCTCCGGTACTTTTGACTAGTCTGTGGAAAATTTGGACTAGTGAGAAGATACCATTATGACTGAGCGCTCCTGAAGACAAGAACCCACCTAAGTAGAACAATAATCTGGTGCTTTGCCGCCGACGAGGCGAAGTTAAGCGGCCTTGTAATCCTAGCATCTAATCAATGAGCCTAGTCGTCTAGTCACGCACTCTGTAGGAACATGATAACAGATTGTGGGATGAAATGCTGATCTAGCACAAGCTTAGCTTTTTAAAAGTCTGATCGGAAGATACAATAGGTGTTGGTATCATCATCATTTTTGGTCAAAGAAAAAATGATGATGATATGACTACTTTAATTGGGGCTCCCGAAGTATGCGAACCAAGATGGCGGACATCGGAATGTAATATGTGTACTAGGATAGGGTTAGGCCATAATTTTTAGGTATAAATACTACGGGTGGCTCTTGGCTAGTCTTCGAACTGATATTAGGACTAAAATAGGGAAAATTGGAAAAAAAATATCGCCTAACCCTAACCTGTTACCCATGTTACGTTCCGATGTCCGCCATCTTGGTTCGCATACTTCGGGAGCACCCTTTAATTTTATGAGGGGTAATTGAGCTTGTGGTAATTGCCGAAAGTACGCATTGTACATACAGAATTATGAAAGATAAAAAATTGCATTTCAGAGTGGAAGGGGAAACCAGTAATGGTGATGGAGCAACATTACCTATGATGAAGTCTAACATTAAACCATACTGAGGAAAATATTTCAAACATTGTTCAAATATCGTTTCAGTGGAAGAAATCGACTTAACCATGGTAACCACATTTCATTGAATGACAAATAGAAGAGTAGTTATTTTATAGCTAGCACTAGTTGCTGTATGGGGTAGAAAACAGAGAAAGTACAAGAACCCAGGTTATGTGGAAAAGATTCGGCACGGCGCGGCGGTGTGGCTCAACGGGCTAAGCGTTAGGAATACGCTCGCCACCGCACCTCTAATTACTCTGCGTGGGTTCGCAGGTTCGAATCCCATGCAGGGATGGTTATGTGCGAGAGGATTGCTGGACTCCTCGCCGTCGTTGGGTGGTTCACGTAACCGCTGGTCGGTTACGGCTTCCTCCACCACCAAGTCCATGCTTCCGAAAACAAACAATACAGTAAAAACTAATCCCATACCCGACTTGGAATGATAACCGGACGAGAGGCCGTGGTTCCCCATATGGATAAGCCGTCTTATCGACTTTCCTCTCCCCCGGGATAAATATGTAAATCCTATCCTATTCTAGATTATTGAAGCTTTTCATACACATAAAGAAGTTCATGTGTAAACAAAGTTTTTCTTAATTTCATAGAAAGTTATGACTTCTGTTTTTTCGTCTCCCTGTAAAGTAGTTTACTTTACGCCACTCTAGACCAGTGCTACTCAACCGGTTGTCCGAATCTGGCCCTTTCGAGTATTTTATTCGGACCGCACCTAATTCTTTATTTTAGAATATTAACTCACTCAAAGTTTTCTTTTATAGAACGACTTCTATAGTTTTGAGTATACATGAAAATAACTATAACACCATAATGAACAATCTTGATTAGCTAATAATAATTAGCCGGTCGAGAAAGTGAGTAGCCCTGGTCTAGACAACCAACCCGAAATACAACTCCATACCTGTATCGTTTTCCATTGGTCTTTGAACTCGGACAGTTTTCTTCATTAGAACAAGCAGATGACAAGTCAATGTGGTACATGTCACTTTGTATTGGTGCCGCGATTATAACTATATCATAGGTCTTTGGTTGAGATGGACTGAACAGAAAAATAATGAAAAGCTGTAATAGGAAGCAGTAGAAGAGGATTTCAATAGCCTGGCCTATGTCGTCTGATCTAGGAATCGGACGACCTGGACCCGTTTCTCGAACAAAGGGCGGTACGGCGACCGCTTCAACTTGGGTGTAGCGATTATAACTATATCATAGGTCTTTGCTTGAGACGAACCGAACAGAAAAATAATGAAAAGCTGTAATAGGAAGCAGTAGAAGAGGATTTCAATAGCCTGGCCTATGTCGTCTGATCTAGGAATCGCACGACCTGGACCCGTTTCTCGAACAAAGGGCGGTACGGCGACCGCTTCAACTTGGGTGTAGCGATTATAACTATATCATAGGTCTTTGGTTGAGATGGACTGAACAGAAAAATAATGAATAGTAGTAGAATAGGTTTTCATATTCTGCGGGGAGAGCAAAGCCTCAGTCTCGGCCTATGTAGTCTGATCTCGGATCCGAACCGACCGATCTAGACACGTCCTTCAAACTAAGGGATGGCAGTACGAGACACGCAGTCGTGTTGAGAACGCTCGGCGACCGCTTCAACTTAGTGCGACACCCGGTAGTCTACTACAAATATTGACGAGTATTCAAATCACTGTATTATATAACTCCAATACATAGCCCTCAGTAAATACACTTAGTTCATTGGTCCTCAAAGTAGGGTCTGCGGTCGCTTAGGGGTTCGCGAAGCGATTTTGGCGGGACCACGAGGCAACTTGTCACCGACACAGAAGCACTGCTGTGATGGTTTTCATAAGGGACAATGATGGTGAGAAGGTTTTAGTATTTATTTGTGAAAATACACGTTTTTCTGCACGAAGTAAAACATGAATTACACAAAAAAATCGGGCGTAGCAAATTTTTGACTAAAAGACTAAAAAAGTCGTTATTATTAACATGTGCGATTGCATTTTAGGATGTAACACCTTTATGTCTGTATTTATAACACGTTTTTCTGCAAGAAGTAAAACATGAATTACACAAAACAATCCTCAAATGCTTGTTTTCTGGCGCGCCCATCTCTGACATGATAACATGTTTTCATTCTAAATTTTTTCTGAACCAAAAAAATTGCAGGGGGATTTTATATAAAGTTTAAAAAAGTTTGAGAACAAGCGAATTAGTTGATAGGTTGAGACTTTGCTTTGAGCAAATTTACATGAAATTTGCTTTGTAACGCCATATAAGGATAGCATCTGTTTCTACGAAATAGCAAGTATATTAGTGAGCTTCCGTTAAATTATAGTTTAATTAAAGGACCTGCAGTTTCGTGCGCAATACATTAGAATCCTCCTCAAAGGCAAATAGTTAAGATAAACATTAATTTTCTATCTCTACAATTTTTTTCAAAATTCATTACACCGGAGAATATTCAAAAAAATAATATTAACATACCTTTGTTTTGTGAAAACACTAAATTTCTCTGTTTTCGACGCAGCATTATACACTACTTTCGATACTTGTTCGTTTATTATATTTGCTGATGAATTCTTAACGAGTTCTCCGCAGACTAACTTGTTGCCTCCTTTTACAGACCATAGACCAGGTTGTATGCCAGCCATTGATACTGCGGCTGAAATTGTAACAGAGAAATAGAAAAATTGTACTCCTCAACATCACAAGCCTCAGCTTCTTCCACCGCCCAAGTTATGGCATAGCCAGGGGGGTTTGAGCGTCGAAACCCCCCTCCTTTTGAAAATTTTGGAAGACAAAGTAGGGTCTGCGGTCGCTTAGGGGTTCGCGAAGCGATTTTGGCGGGACCCCGAAGCAACTTGTCACCGACACAGAAGCACTGCTGTGATGGTTTTCATAAGGGACAGTGATGAAAAGGTTTTAGTATTTATTTGTGAAAATACACGTTTTTCTGCAAGAAGTAAAACATGAATTACACAAAAAAATCGGGCGTAGCAAATTTTTGACTAAAAGACTAAAAAAGTCGCTTATAACATGTGCGATTGCAGTTAAAATCGCGGATTGTTTTCGTCAGCACAACGTGCTATACAGACTATAAACAAACTTTACATCTGTATTTAATTCGCTTGAAATCACGAATTTTCATCAACATACGCATGTCTTAATCCAAGAGAATGATGGTGATTACTTCTTGGTTCTCACACAGAATTATGAGTTTCTAATGAAAAGTGAGTTATTATATAATAGGTGAGGAGATGCTAAATATAATGAAGGAGTGAACACAAATTTTTTGATTAAAAAGCAGCATTGTAAAATACTAAAAATAAAGGAAGGAAGGGAAACACCGTAAGTTTTGTTTTCGGAGGCCCGTGACAGATTAAAAATGCCTTTTTAGACATTGCGTGTCACAAAAAAATTATTAGTAAGGAAGGAAATTCCAGAGAAAACACTTCAACCGTTAACCGCAAACTCTCTCACAATAAAATCGGTATCATATATTTAGAGGAGAAATTTATAATTGTAAAATTTTCATAATCAGTAAGAGTACTTTGAATTAAACACCACAGGATATAATATTGCAATGAACTAATTATTTTTCAAGAAATTGTATAGTATAAAGTTAATTCATACCTGAAGTGTTAATTAATGGTCAAAATAAATTGAAACCGTTAACCATCTAAAATCGGTTAACCGATTAACCATTTCCAGCCCTAGATATTTGTAATACCTAAGATCAGTAGTAAACACTGATCAAGCAGAATGACAGAACAGACATACATTTTATTGCCTATGGAGAATAATAATAATTCGACTTACTAACGAATCCATTAACGCTGGCATTCTGGCCGTAGTTTGTTCTCAAACCTGGCGACACCAAATTGTCAATCATGAATTCGCCGATCCCATCAGAAGAAAACTCAGCAACTCCAGTGATCTGGATTAAACAAGGTAGAGTTTTGTTTTATACGATGCTTTTTCTGATGGACAAGGCGTCCTACAAGCTGGCACTGATACAAGCTACTATTTTGGGTACTCCCTGAAGTATGTGAACCAAGATGGCAGACACTGGAAAGTAGTATGTGTACCAGGTTTGGGTTAGGCCATAATTTTGTTCCAACTTTCCTTAGTTCCAACTTATTTTAGTTCTATTAAGAGTTCGGGGTCTAGGCAAGTGACTCTCGTAGTATTTGTACCTGAAATTATGGCCTAACCCTAACCTGGTACACATACTACATCCTGGTGTCTGCCATCTTGGTTCACATACTTCGGGAGCACCCTATTGTGTGGGGGAACAGGGGTGGCCAATATCAGAAATATATTTCTATTTTTGACAAATAGTGAATATTCACCTACTGATATGTAAAATCGGGGGCTCCCGAAGTATGCGAACCAAGATGGCGGACATCGGAATGTAATATGTGTACTAGGTTAGGGTTAGGCCATAATTTTAGGTATAAATACTACGGGAGGCTCTTGGCTAGTCTTCGAACTGATAATAGGACTAAAATAGGGAAAATTGGAAAAAAATTATCGCCTAACCCTAACCTGTTACCCATGTCACGTTCAGATGTCCGCCATCTTGGTTCGCATACTTCGGGAGCACCTAAAATCGATTGGTATTTTCTTCTTGCTCCCCTGTCATGAGGGCAGTTATCCATGGTCGCGGTTTTGCTATGTCATACATTGCATTAACGGTGCCCCCATAATTACATCTATGAATGTTACATATGCAATAATATGCTTATGGAGTGCCATACCATTAAGACTCGAACATGACCTATGGGGTACTGATCCAATATAGAATTGTTCTCTGCTCCGTGAGAAAAAAATGAAAACAGTGGATAAAAAAACATCAAAAGGGGACGGAAAAAACTGACGTCAACAACCCCTAATAAGCTGTTTATTTTGTACAGTGAAACTCAGATGAACTAAAATAGTTTACCTGTGTGGCATGCACAAAATCGTTCCCTCCTATCGCATGCAAAAAGCCTTGAACAGTGTCGTAACTATGACCTTGTTTTTGAAGGTCGTATATTCTAAATAAAAGTGTGCGCGTGAGTAGTGGAAGCATGCAGTGAAAATTGCAATTGTTTTGGGGGGGTGAAAAATTTTAAATTCATTTATTTGAAAATGGGTGATTCTGTATTTTACTTGTCATTTATTCCACTCATTCTGTATAGTTTTATGAAGTGCAAATACAATCAGTGTCGAATTTTCTTAGTGGAATGACATACTATATTTCACTTCCATTAATTAAAGCATTTTCATCATAAAACAGTATTCTTAATTACCCCAAGTTAAAAAAGGAGATACCAGGAAAGACTTATTGTGTGTATTTGTTATCTATTTATGTAAATATATGTGTTTTCTTGGTTTGAAAAATGCAATAAAATCTCTCTCTCTCTCATAAGACTCTGTTATAAGAAGCAACTAGGTAAGAAATGACTGAAAACTTTGAGTTTATGAGACACAAAAAACATACAGTTTTGCTGTGAAGTGCATTGTCATGTCTATGCGTCTGAAACAAATAACTGGCTAACTAATCTCATACCCGACATGGACTCGTAACCGGAAGAGAGGCCACGGTTCGCCATATGATTAAACGTCTTATCTTTTTTCTTCCTTCAGAAAAATATGCAAATCCTATTTTACTCTAGGGCCTTGTAAAGCGTAAAGCGTGATTAATCGCTATGGTTATCGAGCAGCGACATCGAAATTGGCTTACCCCACAAATTTATTTATGAATCTTTTCTCAAGCCATTGAAGTCGAAATAAATCCAATCCGAATGTCCAAAACATTTTAAGCAAAGATACGATAGACCATGTGCTTGTCTGTAATACATAATCTTTTCCATCGAAAATTCCAAGTGTGCTGGAAAGAGAACTCGCTTCTTGCAGATCTGTCCATGATAAAGACATTTATTTGTTGTTATTTGAAAATTTGCCCATATAAATGCATCGACTATACAAGTCAATGGTGAGCGAACACGTACTACTTCTTTTATCAATACCTTTCCATCTAAAATCTGTACGTTTCAAACCTTACTAGGAGTTTTGTTTGCTTTCCCGATTCTATAATCAGTTTTATTTATTTTGTTTTTATCAATTACTTTATCGTCTATTATGCTGGTTAGGGAGTCAGAATCAACTTTTAAATTGCATTTGATGATATGGATGCAATTGCTTCAATTTACAAATGCCACTGAACCTTGGGGTGAATTGCGAAAGAGCTATTTCAACAACTCTATTTCAACAATATCTCGAGATCGATATTTCGTCTTGATTACAGCCATGGCAGAAAAGCCTGCTTCACATAAATACAAAGTCGCAAAGAGGATGAAAGTGCGCAACTTTTTTGGTTGTTAGGCCATAATTTCAGGTACAAATATTATGGGAATCACTTGGCTAGTCCCCGAACTCGTAATAAAACTGAAATAAGGAAAATTGGATCAAAATTATGGCCTAACCCCAACCTGGTACACATACTACATTTCGGTGTCCACCATCTTGGTTCACAAACTTCGGGATTACCACGCTTTTTTAACCAAGGAAGTATAATCTTAATGTATAAAGGATATTTTAAAACTCATTAAATTTTCAGAATTAAACTTTTTTTTTATAACACCACAGATAAGATCGATGTAATTTTCCTTTTCTTTTCCAGTAAAGGTAGGAGATATAAGTTGGTTGGAAGGAAATCACAAATCACAAGATTTTGAACGCCCTAGCAAATTGAAACCTCGCACTTTGAGAACTACTGTGCTAGAAATATTATATCCATCACTCACTAGGAGAATCCTTAACAAACTTCTTCATGTACAGGTTCTTGCTATGTATAATTGAGCCACCGCTTTCATATTCTCGTCCATCTATTGTGACAGTGTCGAGACGGCCACAAATTCTCGAATCTTTTTCAAATAAATCAATTTGAACATTTTTTCCGAATTTTTCACGAACAAAATGAGAAGCTGATGAACCCCCAATTCCTCCACCGATTATCGCTGAAATAAATGAATAAAGAAATGTTTGAAGATTGATTTTGACGTTTTGTCGTCTTTCGCTTCGAGGATGTGTAGAAGCGCCACTGATACCTTATGAGTTACGAGAGAGAGGGAGAGAGATTTTATTTCCACAAAACAATGTTAAAAAGGACAATAGTACTGGTTTTTATATAAATGCAGTGCAGTGAATATTTAATCATTGATTTGCAGTACAGCGCACTATCCAAACTCCAAGAATTTCCCTCCATTTGGCTCAATAAAACAAACACTCTATGTGTCTCACAAACGAGGGGCGTCTGGCACCACGTCAGATGCGTCATGTCACACCATGCTTGTCTAAATAATAATCTAAGTTAATCGCGGCCGTCACATGACCAAAATTGCCGTTTTTTGCTAAAAACTCTCGAATGCTACGGTAAAATTTTTTTTCCTTCAGTAAATCGGATTATTTTTTCCCAAGGAATTCAATGATGACATTACTAGATTGCGCTTTTTTGTAGTATTTTGCGCAACTTCATTATACTGTATTATTACCGATATTGAGGGACAACAATGTCCAGACGTCTCCCAAAGGTGGGGTGTCTGATCATCTGTAAAATGGGTTTCTCTGAAACGGGATAATGTCACCCGATTTGTATAGTGTGCCGTACTGAATTCTGGGGTCTCGTGTAGTTTCGTACCTAACATACTTCTAGTGAGAGTATCGCAATAATTTTTTGACATATCAATCATAACCCTCACCTGACTATGCCATCCAAAAATTACGTCCCTACGACGCCACAATCACCTCATAGAGCTTGTCAAATATACATACGATCGCCCGAAATGGCAACGGCGCCGATGACAAAGAACAGACTAATGTCAGCGATCTTTCTCATATTGGGATCGTTGCGACAAGAAAACGAGAGAAATAGTTATTCGATTTCGGATGCTCGTTTGCGCGTCTTGGACAACAGTTCGTATAGTTTGAAGGGCTCTTAGAAGTTATTGGGAGAACCGAAACCTTTTCAGCAAATGTGGATGTAGATTTTCAATAGTCTTGAAGGTCTAAAAAGTGCTTCAAGCCATAAAAAATTGCTACTAATATTTTTTTATATTCACACATCACGTAACTGTTTGCTGTTTTTTAAGGAGTTACAGCATTTACTTCGCTAAACACCATTTTACCATACAACTGATTTTCCTGTTCTTGTGCCTTTAAAATCAAGCGCTTCTACATTGTGGAAAAAATAAACATATGTACGTAGTGTTAACATACAGACTTACCTATTTTACTTGGTGGATCCACTGCTGCTCCTCTCACGACTGTATGCAAAAAAAGCACAAGAACCAATTTCGATAAAAATCTGCCGTCCATGTTCTGAAGTTCGACTGACCCAATCTTTACTACTGTACTACTAAACCTGTCATTAACAATATTAGAAAACAAGATATTTACAGATTTAGCTGAGCAAACTAGGGCGCAGGTTCACTAAACGCTGTTCCATTCATTCTAATAGAATATGGCAGGTACGAGGTAATTCGAAAGAAACGTGCGAAAGAACAGTGTTAAGGAAGCTGATCGGTATACATTACCACAATTCATCTTAAAATAAGATAGAATTTACATATTTATCCCAGGGGAAAGGAAAGCCGATAAGACGGCTCAACCATATGGCGAACCATTCCATGTCGGGTATGAAATTGGTTAGTTACTTGTTTTCGGAAGCATGGACTTGATAATGGAGGAAGCCGTAACCGACCAGTGGTTACGTGAACCACCCTACGGCAACGAGGAGTCCAGTAATTCTCTCGAACCTGCAAACCCACGCAGAGTAATTAGAGGTGCGGTGTCGAGCGTATTCCTAACGCTTGGCACGATGAGCCACACCGCCCCGCTCTTACTTAAATTAATGCACTAATTCAACTAATGATGACTGACACGGAATGCACGAGGGGTTGTGAACATGGCTCCAACCAACCTAGTTCCCTTTTCTGGCTATTAACGTACACTGCTTTTGGCAATGGCTATTTGAAACAGTGGACTAAACCCTTAGTTATGGACTAAGTATAAATCGAAGGCGTGTTTTCTCTCCTTATTCTGAAAACAGTTTTTATTATTTACTCTTTTCAATGTCATTTATAGTCCCAGTATAAGTTTATCTCGACTCCATAATCACCGTAATACCGGTAGACGATAGAATAATTGATAAAGTAAAAACTGATTACCGGTACGGAATCAGGAAAGCGAACAAAAACCTATTTATCGTTTTCAATGTTGTTACGGTATCGCCTGTTGTTTGTTTTTTTATTATTCTGAATTTGAAAGTCTATAGGCTATGTATCTACAAATCGTCTCTCGAAATAACATTCATGATAGCGTATGACACTGAACGCCCACTTTCAACCACAAAAACAACCGCGATTTCACTAACTTGGGCCACGCGTGGCGGCGACGTTCCCCGGGCAACCGCTAGGGGTAAATAAATGGCCAACCTCCTAGTGGTGAAAACAGAATAGGATTTGTTTCAATATATTTATCTCAGAGGTTTAAATTTTAAAATACCCGATCTGTTCAATTAGATACTAGAACATACTAAATACTAAACTCCATTTTAATCCTGCTGTTCAGTATTGAATCATGGAGCTCCATCATTATTGCTTTTCTGATTTTTGGACACGTAGTGGGCATAACGATCGTTTCAATATTATGTTGTTGTTGTTCTTGTTATTTGACACGTTTTTAAAAAGTCGCTTTTCTCTTCGAATACTGGACCAATTGCTTTGAAATTTTCAGTGGTTGAAGATAAAATTTTTCTCCAGAAGGCTATTACTTTTTTTTTCGCCATGACGTCATCAAAATTATTGCCATTGGGTGGCGCTACGTGGGCATATATTTGAGCATAGCTCTCTTGTTTTTAATGACATGCAATCGTATTCAAAAATTTTATCATGCATACCCCAAACATGGGAAGAAAATTTATTAAAAATACCTCAAGCCAATCCTCATCGTAGTCTAATCTAAGATATTAGGAGCATCGATGGGATCCTTACCACGGATATGGGCCGTGAGACGAAGCCTTGAAAACGCCCAGAAAATGAGTTTCGTAGCGCACATCTGGTAACTAAATAAATTCTTCAGTTTTGTGTAAAAATGAACATACTGAACGCATTACAGCTTGTTCCACAATCCTAATGCGAAAGTGAATATAAGAGGTTCCCGGAAATTCAATAACCATAAGTTTACAACACATACATAAGAACTATGCAATTCGAGAGCCCTACAGCACACTAACACAAATGTATTCCTGTAACGTTTTGTCTGACCAAAATCAGACTTCCTCAGTCAATCATAATTTATTAGGTAGATTATGAAAAATATGGCATACATGTAACCAACAACAAAAATACTTTAATTGTGTGACAGGAGTCGCGGGTGACCTCGAAAGATCGAATAAATTTTATGTAATAACCACAAGCAGTTTACAACGAGAACAGAATAAAAATCTACATCCATTTTATAGAAGCTATCAAACGTATTTATTTTTAAGCAATGAAGTCACAAATTAACATCGTGAGCACGAAAACACAGATAAATCAGTTATTTTTCACTTAGAAATTTACCGGAAAAGTCAAGAAAATTAAAAGAATGTACAGTATGTACATAACATAGTAAACAGAAATATTACAATTAGTCTTTTTTTAGTTTATGTGGTTATGTATTTGAACAAAGGCAATATTATTTCTAGAAACAGGACTACGACACTAACAAATGTCCGAAAAAACAAACAAATAAATGATACTTAATAAATCAACTGCAATATCTATTTCACTTTCTTCTGAATTGTTTTCGAAATCCATTATCTCGAAAATCGACTTTTCCTCTATAAGTGTACTGTGATTTTTGCAGTCAATACAAAAACAAAAATATGTGCAATTTAAGTTGATTTTGCCACACTTGCATAAATTATTTTGACTATTTTTCTTACACTTGCAGTTTGCCAACTCAAGAACTGATTTGAGGGCCACATGCTTCTTCATTAAATCATTGTTGGGTGGTAGAGTATAACCCTTATGTTTGTCAGTGTTAAATAAACGTGCCCTGATATTATTTACATTCTTCATATCCTCTTCATACAGTGAACAAACAAAATCCTCAGCTTTATTTATTAATGCCTCGTTAACCTCAAAAGATCTTCATAGTTGAGAAAAAAAATGAATTGAAAACCTCAATGAAGTCTCCAACATGAGTTTGATGGGCAGTTTCAATTGCAGAAAAGTGCTAAAGTATTTCAATATGAAAACCCCTGTAAGCTGTTTCCAACTATTATGATTCTCATATACCTTTACGCTTCAAGACTTCTTGTTTAATCTATTTTATGGCACTGATAGCATCAGGGATTAGAGCCTGCGTTAGGTGGGATTGGTGGAACATTGCCGTTTTCTTTTGTAGTACAGAATCTAAAATGAAGAGGAAAATCATATTTTAAACAGCATGAGTGTAAAAATACCACTAAATACTAACTAATACCTTGAATACATAATGCATTTTATCTGATGTACTCAATGAGCGTATATATGCACATTGCATGTACTACAGTCCAGCAGTGTTTGCATACCAGTACTAGACTATATCTACACTAAATTTCGATAAATCACAGTCTGAAATGCTCTATGACAGTATGAGTATGGACTATAGACTATATTTTAAAACATCAACTGTCTGTCTACAACTTGCTTTCTCACCTCTCAATCGCTCCCAATGCTACGTTTTTTCCACGGCATAACTTATCATTGCTCCCCAGGTTCTTGTCGACCTTATGAATTCAGATTTAGACCAACCAAAATTGATTATTTTCTTCTCTTTCACACAACCGTGCATTACAGAAACAGCCATTAATTTATATTTCCAAATATGCTGTGGCCTATATAGTAGTATACAGTGGCGGCGCGTCAATAGGGCCAACCGGGGCAATGCCCCGGTTGTTTTTTCGGTATAATAAAAAATATTCGAAAAATACCTCAATATCGGTTGCACAGACTGTCTACACTAGCCATATTCTCCCGACATGGTTCATTTTTCGCTCGCAAAGCCTTCGCCGAACGTCGACGGGGCGACGCCGATTTTGCCCCGGTTGCTCATTGTATATCGTATTCTCTCTTTTATCTTCCACTCGCCGCGTTTGTCTCGTTTGTTTTCTGTTTCTTTTACTAAATCATCGGGGCCGATCGGGGCTAGCCCCGAAATTATGACGACACAATGCCGACGTTTCTTACAACAACGTGTTGACATATTCACGCATTCCTTCTCGTTCGTTGGTTGCTTGAAGAGTTGATAGTTTCCTCGCCTTCGTTTTTGTCGCTTGTTTCGCTATTTGAATCAGTTAGAGACCTTTAGTCCATTTGCTTTCGATTTTCCACATTCCTTTTGAGCTCCTCACTTCTTTCCGGCTTCGCATTTCTTAGCCTTAGACCTCATAATGAAGTAGGTCGATGCACTACTTCGCACTCCGTTTTCGCAGCTGCCGCTGGAACAAAAATTAGAGGTACAACGTCTTGGGCCTTATCAACCAAACAATTGTTCACTGGAACAATCCCATGACGGAGGAAAGCGTCGGCGTACATTCTGCGCAGAAACTTGGTATAAAAAACACGAATGGTTGTGTTACAGCGAGGACAAAAATGCACTTTTTTGTTTTTATTGCCTACTTTTTGCTACCGCCCGTGACTCACGTTGGTGTAAATTTGGTTTTAGAGATCTTAAACATCTTTCCGAGCGTGCCAGGGATCATCAATCTTCTATGGAGCATCTGGACAATGCAGTAAAATACCGAACATTCGGAAATGTTAATATTGCAGCACAGTTGGATGAAGGACGCGCAATTTCTATTCGTCGGCACAACCAAAACGTCGAGAAAAACCGCCATGTTCTCGGTCGATTGATAGATGTTTTGAAGTTCATTGGTTGTCACGAGCTGTCCCTCCGTGGGCACGATGAACGGGCTGGCTCTTCTAATATAGGGGTATTTTTGAATATGGTGGAATACACCGCATCCCTAAATACAGTAGCCTATTGAGAGATCATCTTGATGCCGCAACTGTTCCGAAAGGGACATCTAAGGATATCCAAAATGATTTGCGCAACTCAATGTATAAAATTTATTTACAACATTTGGCTCTGGAAATTGAGAACTGCCAGTTCCTTTCGATTCAGTCTGACGAGACAACTGACATCACGTGCGTTTCCCAACTGGCTGTGATTTTTCGGTTTGTGAAAGATGGTAAACCTACCGAGAGATTTCACAGCTTTGTACCAATCGTTGATTGCACGGCTTGCGGGATATCGGCTGTACTGAAAGAAGTGTTACAGCCTTACAACGCGAAGTCGAAATTGATAGCTCAAACTTATGACGGCGCGACAGTCATGAGTGGGTCGAAACATGGTGTTCAAGTTTATATAAAAGAAGATTTTCCTCATGCGCATTTTTTACATTGTTATGCACACCAATATAACCTCGTTATTAAAAATATGCGTCTTGATACCCTTCTCGTCCGTATATTTTTTGCAAATGTTTCGGGGTTTTCTTCATTTTTTTCCGTTTCGCCGAAGCGCTCTGACCTCCTTCGCCAGATATGTAGCCGCCGTCTCCCAGCTTGTGCACCAACACGTTGGAACTTCCAATCACGCGTGGTGCAGGGCGTGTCCAAAATTAGGTCTGAGCTCATTGAGTGTTTCAATGGCATTCAGAGCTCTCTGGTTTGGGACGAACGCTCTGTGAGGGAGGCGGCAGGTCTAAAGCGTCTGCTAGAAGATGGTGAGTTTTCATTTTTTCTCGCTTTTTTCTCCACAATATTCTATCACGTGGATGTATTATACGGCGCATTGCAGTCAAGGCTAATGGATGGAGCGTCTGTGCAGTCGTGTATTTCAGACTTCTGCGATGCTGTATCTCGTATCCGGGAAACAATAAAATACGACGACACATGGAGTGCTTCTTTACGCCGCGGGCAAACAACGCAGCGTTTGATTCTGTCTGCAAAGGAATGCTGTGACATTCTGGTGAATCAAATAGGCGATCGTCTGCGCACTGAACACCTTGCCGCGTTCTCTTTGATGAACCCCAAAAATTTTTCAAAATTTACACGTCAATTTCCCATCCATTTGTTGGCTACTGTCTCCAAATTTTACCCCATGATAAACGTGGGTAAATTGGAAAATGAATTGCGATGTATATACACCAATCAAACTTTTTTGAACATCACATCAACTTGCGCGCTCTATTGGTTCCTCATAGATAACACTCTAGTAACTACCTTTGCGGCGTCTGCAAAATTTCTGGACATCATTTTGACGGCGCCTATTTCTTCCGCCGCCGCAGAGCGAACATTCAGCACGCTGAAGCGTATTAAAACGTATCTCAGAAACACAATGAAGCAAGATAGATTAAATTCCTTGGCTGTTTTATCCATTCATAGAGACGGTATTTCTGGGATGCATAACTTTAATCAGCGCGTTATTAAGCATTTTGCATATATGTTAAAGCAGTAGAAGTCTAGCAGCATATATATCTATGAGTGAGCGACGCATGTCCTTATCTTTGCATTACCTTTCCTTTCTTCATAGTAACTTTTAAACCTTATTTTAGGTTTTGTCTGCTTTCCCGAAGTTTCTGTTAATATGTCATTGTATTTATCTGGGTAAATATTGCCTTTCCTTTTGAAAGAGGTTTCAAAATAAACTATGTCTATATTTATTAATCCCTTGACTTGGACCGGTTTTAAAGACACTTTCTTATCGTTAAAAATTGTCGCTTTTGCCGATTGGTTGTTACCGATGGAATGGTTTTTATACTCATAAAATGATGGGAGAACTTACAGCGCTCATCCTGTTCCCGTAGACGGGGGTGACTTGGTCCCGCAGTAGCTTGCCCCCACGCGCCGCCACTGAGTATAGGTCTGCTGAATAGTCAAGAAGAGTCATTAAATTAATCATAAACATTTCATGCAAGCCAGAAAATATCGTTGTTTGTGACATACTAGGTCTAGCCTTCCTTGGAGTTACCGCACCTATTTAACAACGTCTTATGAACTAGTGCTCAACTAAAATTGCTATTTATGGTAAGGATATACAAGTGTTTGATATCTTACTTATACTTTCAACGCCTCCTCAGAATAACTGAACTAATAATAACTGAAAAAAAAAAACTATGGAAAGGCTACCCAACTCAACGCAAAAGCGAGCAGTAGTACATCTGATATTCATCCGACCACAGGGGATCCACCTACAGCTGACTAATGTAATTGTTACGTCATGCAGAAGTCTGCGTTCATTGGCCCATGATACCGGAAAAGCAGAGAAAATAGGACAGATGGTAACACATATTTATTGTAATAAAAGCGTGTTTTCTGTAAAACGTGCAACTTTTGGAAGTGGAAACAAGGCAATATTTGTTACTAAATTTCTAAGGAACATTTTCAGGTAGTTACCTTATGTGCGCTACGAAACTGAAAGATAAATGGCCTCGGCTCGCGGCCTAGATGCTTACTTAGAAGGAGTCGTTGGAAATTTAAATATAAAAATTTGGGAAGCCTTCAATAGGATGGATAGGGTGAAAACACTCCTAAACGAATCATGCTGGGTCTAGGGCTGTAATTTGTAACCGAATATCTTTGCTTCAATATGGTTTGCAACTGATATTTTCGGAATCTGTAATATTACTAATTTTCATGTTATACAAGTTGAATGCCCGATCGATGCATGTTTGTGTTTTTACCTTTTTTTTTAATGTTTTTGTTCGTGTGATGTGTGTAAACTGGCATTTGTATTTCCAGATTTGAACTTTTTCAGAGAATTTTTCCTATCTTCTTCATTGTTCCCCTTCATTTTCTTGTTGTATATTTCCCTTTTTACTGAGCAATTGATTTTATTTTCTCGCTCTTTCCACTTCCGACCTCATCATGTCTCGATGATTGTCTGTGCGAGTATGCGTGCCCTAATTATTTTTAATACTTTTGGGTAGTGAACACGTACTACTTCTTTTATCAATACCTTCCCACCTAAAATCTGTGCGCTTCACCTCATTTGAGGTTTCGTTTGCTTTCCTTATTCTATAATCAGTTTGTTTTTATCAATTATTTTATCGTCTATTGCTGATTATGGAGTCGAAATAAACTTATGCCCAGGAAATAAAGAAGTTATTAAACACCAATGAATCATGGACTAAACCAAACTTTTAGCTTGACATTAAATTTATGACTTAGTAAAATAATATATATCAAGGTATTTGCTGTGGTACACATACTACGTGCGTACCTTTTTATGAATGCTGTGTATCGAGAAAAACTGTTACTTTTAGACAAATAATAAAAGAATCCACAAAGTCAGATTTTTTTTAAAAAATTCGTATAATTTAGAATTACAAAACATACAATTCTGCGCATCACGATTCTGCATAATATTTCGTATCAGCGATGGGAGTAATACGAATTAAATTACAAGTCTTGCTAAAGGGTGAGAATAACAAATAAGCAAGATTCTGAAAATTCTCTTATTTAATTGAATTAGCTACTGGACTTCTTTGGGCACTCCTGAAGTATGTGAAACAAGATGGCGGACACCGGAATGTATTATGTGTACCAGGTTAGGGTTAGGCCTTAATTTTATTTCAATTTCCCTTAAATTAAGTTCTATTACGAGTTTGGAGACTAGCCAAGTGTCGCCTGTAGTATTTATACCTAAAATTATGGCCTCACCCTAACCTGGTACACATACTTCGGAAAAACCAGCTATTGAAATAGAAGAACATAAAAACCAATGTGCATGAAGAACAACAATTATGCAAGAAATTGACAAGAACGTCACCAGTTGAAATTAAACATCATACAATATCAGTGTAAAGAATATTTATGTTCAGTTACAAGTATTTTTGGTTGGTCATTTTCGTCTCGCTTACAGGACCTTGGATACTCCCAAAGTATGTAAACCAAGATGGCGGACATCGGAATGTAGTATGTTTACCGGGGTTAGGGTTAGGCCATAATTTCAGGTACAAATACTACAGAAGTCACTTGGCTAGTCCCAAAACTCGTAATAGAACTAAAATAAGGAAAATTGGAATAAATTATGGCCTCACCCTAACCTAGTACACATACTATGTTCCGGTGTCCGCCATTTTGGTTCACATACTCTGGACGTACCAGCTATTGAAAAAGAAAAACATAAAAAGCAACAATTATGCAAGAAATTGACAAGGACGTCACCAGTTTAATTTAAACATCATACAATATCAGTGTAAAGAATATTTACGCTCAGTTACAACTAACATGGAAAAACTAAGACCAGTTGGCCAAATCCGGCCCATTGGGCAATTCAATCTGGCCTGCTTGGCACAAACTTTTTCTTTTGTAGCGCTGTAAATATCGTTCACAAAGTGTAATTTTCCACATCACACTTACATGACCCGCCAGTCTACGTTGGCAACGTGGTCTAGAAACCTTGCCTACCTTTTGAGTTACAAGTATTTGTAGTTGGGCATCTTCGACTCACGTACAGGGCCTTGGTAGCTCCCCAAGTATGTGCATTAAAATGGCGCACAACCTGAACATAGTATGTATACCAGGTTTGACTTCAGGTTGTGCGCCATCTTGGTGCACATACTTCGGGTGCGCCAGGCCTTGTGGAGAATGGAAGGCACGTAAAAGTGTCACCTAAAAATAACTTGACTAATTCACTGATTTGTAACTTTTTATCAAACTGTTGGGTAAAATTGCAAGTCTGTTTCCCAGCCAGGACACGGCTGGTTGGTTCAAGCTAGGCGTTAAGTGTGTGCTCATTGGCTAACAATTTGAAAACGGGAGTGGCTTCACTCATAGCAGCATTCCTGATTGGCTGACAATTGAATCAGATGAGATATTTTTTGATTCACATGTAATAATTGAGGAGAACTCATTGGCTGATCATATAAAAATGGGAGTGGCTTCATTCAAAACTGCCTTCCGATTGGTGCATTTAAATTTTTAAGCCTTTTCATTGGCTGATGAATCCAAAATATGATAGAATTAGCTTTATGATTGGTTCGAATTTCACAAAGGTCGGGGTTTATGTAAAGCAATAACATCTGCGTCCAATAGGGGGTCGTGGTTACCCTTCACCGTCGACCATTCCGCAAGACCGGCCGACCCCATTCTATGGATAAGTTTATGTGTTATTGTAAATCCACTATGGCCGTCAAGTTGCGTCAGCACTATAAGTACTTGTCTGAAATAGAAAAATTTAGTTATTTTTTCGAAAAAATTATCAAAAGGAGAGAAAACAAACATTGGGAAAGCAGTCGCAAAACACAAAAGCACTCTAGTTCAAACAAGAACGAATAAGAGGGCACACCTTACGACTCTGATCTAAAATAGTTTCCCGCTTCTCTGACATAATAACCAAACATCTAATCCTAAAAATAAAAATCTCATCCCACCCTGCAAAAAAGGAAGGATCACTTACTTGTGTAATGGGGGAACACTGTCACTTGTTTTATTAACTCCTCTCGTAGATACCACGTTCCTTGAATCCATGCAATCACAAACAATTTGCATATGTCGGGTTGGATGTCGATTCTCCGCTACTACGACTAAACCAGCCCATCCACGGGTTAAATAATAACATGTCGCACAGTCCCGTACCTGGAGAAATAAGAGATTTATCATTGTTGTAACGAGAAAAGGAAATTTACAACCGGCCCAAAGTTGGAAAGACATTTGGCACAGACTTGGAAAAATTATCAACTCCCGACTCCAAGTCCATCAAGGGGATAATTATGTGTAAGAGTATCGCTCGACTCCTCGCCTGGTTTACGTAATCGCTGGTCGTTTACGGCTTCCTCCACCATCAAGTCCATGCATCTGGACTTGCGAACCCAAAGCCATGACACATTTTTTTTGTAAAAAGCGAGGAAAGTTTCTCTTTGTATTGACATTGCAACAAAAAAATACATTATTATATAGGGCGTTCATAAAGTCTTGAAATTTCTTAAAATTGCAAAGGGAATTTATCGATACCATATATTGTTTTGGCTTTCACAGATGTATTAAATGAAGTAAAAATACTTGAACGATTACTGATTAAAAAACAACAAATTTGGTTAAGATATATTGAGAACTGACTTCATAACAAAATTGAAATTGTAAAGAGACTTTATGGACATCCTGTATATTCTCATTTAATCCATGCAATATATGAGCTTGCTTTGTGTATATACATATGATCATAACCCCATTAAATTTCCAATGTATAGTGCCAATATCTCTGCTCTCGATAATTTTTGAACAATATTGATCATCTTATGTTTTGAACATGGACAAACTAGTCTTTTATTATGTCATAAAAACACTTACATCTTTTTTTTCTCCTTTTTTCATCACAAGCTCAATCGTTGCGTCAGCAAAAAGTGTTGGATTAGCAGGAAAATGACTCAGTGAAATTGGCCGACTAGTATGTAGCGCTAACACGAATTTTGGATGTTCTGGATCCCGCAATGCTGCTGCTGCGGCTGCAGCACCTGGTGAATTAAATTATAATTTTCGTGTTAAGAAACAAAATTAGGATGAACAGAATACAATTGTTTACAGTGGTATTAACCCAACTTACCGTATTTTCTCAACTATACGCCTATCACGCGGATAAGCCAACTCCCTAATAATAGCTTCAAAATAGTGAATTTATAAAAATTCGCTTATACGCCGTTTCCACAAATCGTAACACGGCGCACGCATCTATTACAGTCAATGATGTTCAATTCAAATTTAATATTCAAATATCGCGATTCGCTACCTTCTTGTATATGGCACACACATTCTAGCGCAGCTGTCCACATTTTGATTAAAACAATTTTCGATTATTATATTTTCTGTTTTATCGTAATGGAAGACAGCACTTTGCGGCACAACTAAATTACTGCCAACTACTAGTATGTAGCGCTAACACGAATTTTGGATGTTCTGGATCCCGCAATGCTGCTGCTGCGGCTGCAGCACCTGGTAAATTGAATTATAATTTTTGTGTTAAAAAACAAAGATTAGGATGAACGGAATACAATTGTTTACAGGGGTATTAACCCAACTTATGTGTCCCAGCAGAAGAAAAATAAAATCCCAACATATCTAACTCAAAAATTTCCAAACAGAGCCCTCGGTTTTCCTCGAGGGCCAAAGGGTGATTTGGATCCCTGAGCAAAACTGCTAGGGTGCCATTCATGAAAATAACATAAATAGTTTTTGTGATGTGGTGGTTTTTACTTATCGATCTTAAGATCGGTAAGTATATTGATAGGTATTTGTCTGTATGTCTGTCTGTCTGTCTGTGTGTCTGTGTGTGTGTCTGTTAGATGCATGCGATATCTCACGAAAGCGAGATTGAATCTGCTCCAGATTTTGCATGTGCATTCATCTTATCTCGGACCAGAAGCCTATTGATTTTGGGCGAATTATGTTGTATAATTAGCGAGTTATCAATCAATTATTGATATAGTGATCTAGATTTTTGTAAAGCGAGAGAATTTTGAAACCCGCCGAGTGTGTGTGTGCGATGCGCAGTGCGCAAGTTACAAGAGCGGATGAATCGAAACTGCAGTTTCTGTTTTGGGGGATCCCCTAACTATCGATCGATAAGTCTTCGGTTTCCAACCGATATTCTCGTTTAATTGTTTGGCTGTAATGTAGTTTTTACTTATCGATTTCGATCGGTGAGTTTATAGTTATTTGTCCGTTTGTTTGTTTGTCTGTTAGACGCTTTCGCATATTACGCGATATCTCACGAAAGCGAGGTTGAAACTGCTCCAAATTTTGCATGTGCTTTCATCATATCTCGGACCAGAAGCCTACTGATTTTGGTTGAATTACGTCGTATAATTAGCGAGTTATTAATTAATTAGTGATGAGACACGTGGTGTCGCTATTGAGTCAGAGCGAAGGAATCTAAACCACAGTTTCTGTTTTGGGGAATCCCTCTAACTTTCGTCGCTGCAAACGATTGTGTGCGTAACGTTGCTCTGTCTGCAATGTGGAACGTTTAGGTATTTTGGTTACACGCCGCTCCGACTTTGTGGGGCTGGTGATGACCGGTGGGATTGCCCCAAATTTTCGAGTAAAACATTGAACATGCAGAAGATCGATAAGTCCACACGCTCCGATTTCTGTCTAGTTCCTTTATCTTCGCTTGTCGGCTTTCTATTATTCTTATTCAAACAGGACGAATAAAATATAACGGAAAGACGTTAGAAACCGAACCGTTATTTTTTTTTTTTGAGCAGGGGGCGATGGAGTTTGGAGGTGTCAGTTTGAGAATTACTGGTCTAAACGAACCCACAATATCTCACCCGTGATCCCATATGCCGATCTCCAATGATTAAAACCAAGAGTTACAATTTGATAGATGCCAGGTTCCAAGAATTGGGAACAGGAACCGTGCCTTTTAACCTGGAAAAGGAGTGAAAAAATGTTAGAATATGCGGAGTTCGAAGTGTCAGGTCTGTTTTTTCTAGGCAGGGAAGACTAGAATGTGGAGCTCGGGAAAAATTGGCATTGCCGAAGCGCGGAGTGTCTCGTGTTAAGCATTAGAAATACGCTTGCAACCACACTCCTGATTACTCTGCGCGGATTTGCAAGTTCGCAGGGAAGAGTTATGTGCAAGAGCATTGCTGAACTCCTCGCCGCCGTAGGGCGGTTCACGTTACCGCTGGTCGGTTACGACTTCCTCCACCATCGAGTTCATGCTTCCGGAAACAAATACCTAGCTAACTAATCCCATAGAATGGTAACCGAACGAGAGAACGTGGTTTAGACCCAAATTTGAAAGCAACCACGGGTCTAACTTTGGGACTCCAAAAACTTTGGCTATGCTAGACTTTATCCATTGTCTTTTTAGGATTCTAACGTGATTTAGGGGGCTTTTTGAGTTTCTGAATGAGGAAGAAATTTTCATTCCTTTTATTTTCATTAAATTCTTAGGATAGGATAGGATTCACAGTTTTATCCCGAGGAGGAGAGAAAAGTCGGTAAGACAGCTTAACCATATGACGAACCACTAGGGCTGAGCCATTCGAATCGGTTCAAAGGAAAATTTCGAATTGCTGCCATCTTGTTGCTTTTTTTTCTAGCAGTGGTTGATGCAAATATCTCAATTTTTTTTTTGAAGTCATATTTTTTCAACGCAATTCTGACATATGACTCTTTTTTTTTTCTTTAGTGAGTTATTGCTGGAAACGTGTTTTTTATTGTGCGTGAACGAACGCTCAGAAATCTGCCTCAGTGATGTATTTTACGTTTTCAGCAATTTATGTGTCTGGAGAACCTAATACAATGAGAAAGTTACATACAATTTTATGTCTCCCAAGTATTCAAGATTCGATTCGAAAAAAATATTCGATTTGATTCTGAAATCATCAAGAATTCGAAAATGTCCAGCCTTACGAACCACGTCCTCTCGTCCGATTACCAGTCCGTGTCGTGCATGGGATCAGTTGAACAGTTATTTGTTTTCGAAATCCGTAATCGACCAGCGATTATGTGAACTACGAACCATCGAAAGGAATCAAAATCGCCGTCAAGCTTACCTGTCTTCGACTGCAAGCCACTAGAGGTCCCAACACGACTTCAGAATGTGGATCGGAGGTTGCAGCTTGCTCGCTACTTCTGAACACACAGACGCAGATATCCACTGGATGGCGCCCTGAAGTTTCTTGACTCCTGAAAAATAGATGCTCGTTAGCAAGGTCAGATCAAGGTCAATTTTGTGATGCTGGAAAGACTACAACACATCACATATTTATACACATCACATATTTAGTAATTTATTTTCACAAAATTGTTTTTCAAAAACAAATATGGGCAGAAAAACTGGACATCACTATATTTTATTCTCCAGAAGTTGGTTCTCTATAAAGGAGTGTTATCAGCTACATTATTCAATGCCATTCCGTGAGGAATCTGGAGGGGGTGATCAACACACATATATAATTTTTCTTAGCCTATTGTATTTCATGCCATTCGCATTTGCTGAGAGATTCAATTATTTATTTTGGTCATGCAAGAACAATGCGAGATATGAGATAATAAATAAATAAAATACAAGTTACAAATTACATAAAACGGATATCGAGTATTTGCAGTTGGTCTGACATCTAGTCAGCAACACCTTGCATTGAATTGAAAAAGCAAATATAAGAACGGAACAATTCGATGGTACACATTTACTTAATTGAGCGCAGTCATAAAAGAAATTTACGAGTGTGTGCACCAAAATAACATCTTTTTTTTTGTCTAGTTAAATAGTAAAATAATTCGACATACGAACCTTGACCCCTGTTGGAATATTGACAAATCAATTTCCGTCGATTGATATACTTCAAGAAAGTACGAAGCGGGGGGTTGGGAGGCAGAATCAGGGAATTCCCCTGATATCCTTGTCTCCGCCCAGTTTGTGTCTCTAATCTTACAAATATCAACGCTGTCGAAATATCTAAAAATATAAATTAGGAAATAAAGTTTGAGAAATAGCACATGTAAGAAAATCTCAGAGATTTTTAATTTTCAACGAACTGTTTTTCATATTTTCTTACAAGTGTTTTTTATGCACTTTCCGGACATATTTTTATATGCATATTGGACCAGTTTCCATCAGCTAATTTATGCGTTACATTTAACAATAAAAAGTCAAAAATCGAAAGCAAAAAACTGAATGAACTCATATTAGTCAAAAAATTAAAGAAATTATAGTCAAGTTAATATAAATTAATGTTGCCATCATGAATTGTACATATTGAAGGCATTTGCTTGCAGACCACTTGGGGATAATTATGCTCGAGAAGATTGCTGGACTCTTCAGCGTGGGAGGGTGATTCATGTAACAGCTGGTCGGTTACGGCTTCGCTCACCATCAAGTCCATGCTTTCGAAAACAAATAACTGGCTAACTAATCCCATACCCGAACTGGACTGGTAACCGCATGAGAGGCCGTGGTTCGTCATCCCATCAGCTTTCCTCTCCCCTGGGATAAATATGAAACTTTCGTTCCCCAGAGAACTGCTCTGTGGCTACACAATGGCTGAAGGCCTAGTCCGGGAAAGCCAGACGTATACTGGCCTTAGAATCATATCGAAGCCAGCAGTCACTAACGCAACGGTCTGCAAATTGTGTGCCATGTCCAAATCGAGAGCCCTCGATCAGTCTCTCCCCTGGGATAAATATGAAACTCTCGTTCCCCAGAGAACTGCTCTGTGGCTACACAATGGCTGAAGGCCTAGTCCGGGAAAGCCAGACGTATACTGGCCTTAGAATCATATCGAAGCCAGCAGTCACTAACGCAACGGTCTGCAAATTGTGTGCCATGTCCAAATCGAGAGCCCTCGATCAGTCTGGCACTGTGATTGTTTTTGAAGCTGTGAATATGACGAGTGCAGGGTTTGAACCCAAGACCCTTTACTTACCTTAACATATCATCAAAACAAAGCCAGAATATCCCATGATATGATTGTGTTGGATTCAGTCGTTCCTGTAACCTTGGGTTATCGTACCACATCTCTGAGTTATCTGACCAATCACCGGACCAGGATTGCTGAGCCCATGGGTTTCGTAGTTGTAGAAGTCTAGAAAGGTAAAATCTAGAGAATTAGCGGGGCTCCCGAAGTATGCGAACCAAGATGGTGGACATCGGAATGTAATAGGTGTACTAGGTTAGGGTTGGGCCGTAATTTTAGGTATAAATACTACGGGAGGCTCTTGGCTAGTCTTCGAACTGATAATAGGACTAAAATAAGGAAAATTGGAAAAAAATTATCGCCTAACCCTAACCTGTTACCCATGTTACGTTCCGATGTCCGCCATCTTGGTTCGCATACTTCGGGAGCACCGAATTAGCTATGTAATTCAATAGTCCTGTTGCATACTAACACAAACATACAGGGCAATGTTCCCTCTAATTTTTTGTAGTATGTGTGCGCAGAAATTTTGGTGTGTGCACACTTTTTTGGAAATGACTAATATTTGTGCAAAAAACCAATGAAGAAATTTTGGCGTTCTAACAGGGTAATGGGTGGGCCAACAACAAACTTTCTCAACCTGCCAGAACATTGTTACATTACATCGAAATACGTCTGTGCGCAGTAAATCTATGCGTGTGCGCGGCCTCCGAAAGCTGTGTGCGCGCACACACGCGCACACCCTAGAGGGAACACTGATACAGGGTGTCCTTAGAGGGAACACTGATACAGGGTGTCCATAAAGTCCTTTTACAATTTCTATTTTGTTATGAAGTCAGTTCTCAATATATCTTAACCAGGTTTGTAGTATTTTAATCATTAATTGTTTAGTATTTTTACTTCATTTAATACATATGAGAGGGCCAATACAATGTATGGTATCGATAAATTAAAAAATTTTTACGACTTTATAGACACCCTATATTTATAGTCTGTATGTGCAGCAAAACTCTGGAATTAAATAAAATAGTTATCATCATTTGCGTTACACATTTGCGTTATATACAAACAAATCACTAGTGCAGGGGGGAATTACGGCCCATTGGCCAATCCAGCCCACCAGATTGGTGTTTTATCCGGCCCATTTGTGTCAGCTGAAATCACGACTATAGTTTTTATGGATATAAAAATCTACTTACTTGACATTTCCACCGTTATCCATTCGCTCATTCCTGACATCCAAAACGCTGTACGCATGTCGGACTCGAAGATCGACTCTGTCGTACATATCCTCGTCCACTTCCATATTTGCTCCACCACACGAGGCGCCCATGAGAAACCCAGCCTCCTTCGAACTCAAAAGACGAACCCAGATTAAATCTGGCTCTGGTTCAATCATGTCTGGCCCGACTGTAAAAAAGGAAAATTTAAAATAAGTAAATTGATTTTGAAATAAAGCTGGATTTGAGAATTTGTCCTACTAGAGCAGGGGTTCCCAAACCAAAGGTCGCGACCCCAAATTGGGTCGGAGTGATAATTAGGTAGGGTCGCAAACAGGTCATGGGGTCGCTGAGGTATGTCAGAGGATGGATGTACAAAAAACATCTAAGATTTGACAAACCATGTAAAATTTAGCAGTTTGTACCATAGCTTACTGTAAAACAGGCCCATATGCACAGCTATATGCTTATGTGTAAAATGTAGGTGAATATTGTGACATAACTGTTTGTTTTTAGCTTATTTTACTTAATACCACCACATGACCAAACTCAAACGTCCAGTGAAAGAAGCTCTAAAGTTCCATGAAAAATATATATTGACCTGGGGTCGCACTGGACACTTGAAAGATGTATTTGGGGTCGTCCTAAAAAAAGCTTGGGAACCCCTGTACTAGAAAGAAACACTAATTAGATATCACAGACTACAACCTCTAGGATCAGTTAACCAGTTGATTGTTTCCAATATAAATTGGCGTAGGGTAATCAGAGGTTAAATGGCGAGTCCTTACGCTTGAAACGATTAGCCTACGTGAATTTATATTGGAAACAATTAACTGGTTAACTGATCCTAATATCCAACATAAGCTAAGACGACTAGGGGATTCAGCGCTTCAGAGGTATGTACACCAAGATGGCGCACAACCTGAACCCTAACCTGGTACACATAATATGTTCAGGTTGTGCATCATCTTGGTGTACATACTTTTGGAGCTCCGAAGATTCTGGTCTTTCCAAACAAGGATCAAGAATTTTCGAAGGAAGAGTTCTGAAATTTCTAATTGCCCAGGTCAAGAGTCTTGGGTCTTAAAATCGTTTCAAACTACATAAAATACTATGTGTGATATAGAAAAATGGGGGCTCCCAAAGTATGCGAACCAAGATGGCGGACATCGGAATGTAATATGCGTACTAGGTTAGGGTTAGGCCATAATTTTAGGTATAAATACTACGGGAGGCTCTTGGCTAGTCTTCGAACTGATAATAGGACTAAAATAAGGAAAATTGGAAAAAAATTATCGCCTAACCCTAACCTGTTACCCATGTTACGTTCCGATGTCCCCCATCTTGGTTCGCATACTTCGGGAGCACCGGTGATTTTTTCGAAGGATGGGTTCTGAAATTTCTAATTGCCCAGGTAGGAATACGTGGGGTTCCAAGAGTCTTGACTCTTTTTACATTTCAAAAAGGGGGAGGAGGGGGAGGGGGGGTCGAACGATTCCAAATAATAATAGCTCATTGAGAAAGACCCTTGTCCAGAGTAAAAGGATTTAAACATGTCATATAAAAACAAGATTTTATATTCCCACTTACCGACTAACTGTAGACTTTCACAAGGAGCTCCAGTCAAGGTTGCAAGTCCTTCAATTGATCTTCCTGCTTGTAGGGCCTCGTAGCATCCATGGACTTTAGCAAGTGCTTTCTCAATAAGAGGAACCCAGAGCTGTTTTCTTCTAGCCTGGTAACGTAATGAAGATAAGACAAAATTAGCTGTATTTTAAAAAGATATGAGAATGTCAAGCATTTTCTTGTATATATCAAACTTTTGTATCAAAATAAAAATAAGACAAAATTAGCTGTATTTCAGGTGCTCCCGTAGTATGCGTACCAAGATGGTGCACAACCTGCTAACCCTAACCTGGTACACATACTATGTCCAGGTTGTGCGCCATCTTGGTACGAATACTATGGGAGCACCGTTTTTTTATATAATTGCTGGTGCTGCATTGTGCTATACGCTAGGAATACGCTTGTCTTCGCACCTCTGACAGATTCGAACCCCAAGGTACAGTGGGTGTTGTGCTAAGTGCAGCCCGAAAATTAACAGAATTGTGTTACCATAACTAATATATGATTGAATAATTCACATATTGTATTTATAATAAATGTTTTATTGTTTCCTATTTTAAATGTTTAGTATATGTATAAATTAATACATTTTACCTCTCTATGTCGTTTATTTTCTGTTATGATCACAAATTGAATTTTATTTAAAGGCAGTATTTTTTTTTTCGTGTAAGTGCGCTGTGAGTTTTTCCCTGATAATTTGAACCCGCATAAACAAAAAGGTTGGGAACCGCTGCCATGGGGAATGCCCCCCCCCCCCCCTTTGGAATGTAAAAATAAGGGGCTCCCGAAGTATGCGAACCAAGATGGCGGACATCGTAATGTAACATGTGTACTAGGTTAGGGTTAAGCCATAATTTTAGGTATAAATACTACGGGAGGCTCTTGGCTAGTCTTCGAACTGATAATAGGACTGAAATAAGGAAAATTGGTAAAAAATTATCGCCTAACCCTAACCTGTTACCCATGTTACGTTCCGATGTCCGCCATCTTGGTTCGCATACTTCGGGAGTACCAAAAATAAAACATTCATCTGTATCACACATAACAAAGTTTCGTAGCTTGAAAAGCAGATCCCGAGACTCTCGAGAACCCATGATTTTATAGTCCAGGCGTAACAGAATATCAGCGATCGATACTTATATTATGTTGAGATAGGTGAGGGGTCGCCCCCCAATAACTCTTGAAATCCCACATTCCGACTAGCTGTTACGGTCTAACTGGGCAACTGGACATTTCCGACCCTCTTGGCTACCCCCCTAAATAAGCATCATTTAAAAGCGCAAAGACTCTATGTCCACTAACCTGTGTGTAGAGAAGCTCTCCATGCATGTTACATGGCAATAAATCATCAATAAAAAGAGATTGCCAGATGCCATCCTTGCATAATCTAATCATATAGGCTCCATATTTACTGTATTCCCGTGTAATGAAAATATTTCGAAGCAAGTCAGGTCGTTCTACCAAAACAGATAATCCGCTCAGAAACCTGGTGAATTTGAAAAACATTAGGTTAGGCAATAAAGGAAACATGATAAATAAGAAAATGCAATCTATAGGTTAGTTACAGCTAATTTCAGGAGAATGTTCCTTGGAGCAGGGCTTCTCTAACTTTTAAGCTGGTGACCCTTTCCAATATATTAAAAATCACCCCAGTTAGGTAGGCATTGTTATGCAAGTGCGCCGCTTCAGTGATCCTATGAATACTCTCGAAAGCACGGGATTACGGGATTTATGTTTTGCAAAAGTTCAAATAATTTTTTTTTGCATAAAAAGTCTCAAAAAGTACAATTTGGGTCCCGCACAATAGGTTGGAAACCACTGGCCTAATTCCTCTGTGAGCTATTCTATTACTTTTTAAAATACTGAATCGGCTAATTTTGTAACTGTCCAAATAAGCAATAAATACATCAGATTCGTTAAATAAAGTAATTTTAATTTAATCAAGAACATTAATCGATATGTAAAAATGTGTTTTTTTTGTTTTCATTTTCATAAATTTATTATGGAGCTCACACGAGCGTCGTAACATCAAACGTTTTAGAACCTAGATTAGGATTTCAATTTACATATTTATTCTGGTATCAATTATTGGTATCAAACCGATAAGACAGCGAACCACGGCCTCTCGTCCGGTTACCATTCCATGTCGGGTATGGGATTAGTATGTAAGTTATTTGCTTTTAGATGCATGCACTTGATCAGGTAGTAAACTAGAATATCGGTTAGAAACCGAAGACTTATCGATCGAAGGTTAGGGGATCCCCCAAAACAGTGGTCTTACTCCATAGTGACAACGTGTGTCCCATCACTAATTAATAAATAACTCGCTAATTATAAGACATAATCCATCCAAAATCAATAGGCTTCTGATCCGAGCTATGATGAATGCACATGCAAAATTTGGAGCAGATTCAACCTCGCTTTCGTGAGATATCGCGTGCATCTAACACACAGACATACAGACAGACAAATACCTATCAACATACTTACCGATCTTAAGATCGTTAAGTAATAAATGTGTTTACCAGCAGTTCCCTAGAATTCCTTGTTGGATGTCTGTTGTTTCGGGACCTTCAGTGCAGAACACGGTCCACTGCCTATGCTCGTATTGTGGGTCTCTACAATTAATCTGAAAAGAAGTTTTTTGAATAAGAAATTGATGAAAAAGTAATATATCGATTAGTGCACAAGAATCCCTGTACCTGTTCTAATAATATTATATATAATATATATGGCGAACCTTGGCTTTGCATCTGGTTATCAGTCCATGTCAGGCATGGGATTAGTTAGCCAGTTATTTATTATCAGAAGCATGGACTTGATGGTGGAGGAAGCCATACCCATTCAGCGTTTACGAACTCTGGCCCGTAATTATCAACACTGAATTTGAAACCTGCAAACCCATGCAGGGTAATCAGATGTGCGATGGCAAGCGTATTCCTAAAGCATAGCACTATCTGCCAGACCACCAAGCTTTCAGTTAAGAGGTTCGAAATTTGGAAGGTTAGGAACATGCGGCCATCGCACCTCTAGTCATGTAACTGCTGGTTGGTTATGGCTTCCTCCAAGAGGAACTTAGCCAAAAATTTTAAAAGGGTTAAGTCCCTCTTGAAGGAAGCCGTGACCATCGCACATCTAATCATGTAACTGCTGGTTGGTTATGGCCTCCTCCAAGAGAGACTTAACCCTTTTAAAATTTTTGGCTAAGTTCCTCTTGGAGGAAGCCATAATCAACCAGCAGTTACATGATTAGAGGTGCAATGGTCACGGCTTCCTCCAAGAGAGGGACTTGGCCAAAAATTTCAAAAGGGTTTAAAATTTCTTATTGTCAAGTTAGATTGTAACAGCTATCGCGTCCGACCGAAGGTCGATAAACGTGGGTTTCAAGAGTCTTGAGGGTCTAAAAAGCGTTTTAAGCTACGAAATATTGCTATTTATGATACGGAAAAATTCTTTTTTTTACATTATAAGAGGAGGGAGTGGTTCTGACCCTCTGGCTACGCCCCTGTCCTCCACCGCCAAGTCCATGCATCTGAAACAAATCACTTGATACCTAATCCCACTCTATCCCATGATTTTGGCCATTTTACTGCCTTTCCTCCTCAATATAAATAAAAAAAACTGTCCAGCATTACTTTACCTGATGTGGTCTCAACCAGACAGCTTGGTGATTGTACTGACTGTTGGGATAATGAAGTATTTCATGGCTCGGTCTGAACTGGTCGTCCACAAATTTATCATCAGCCTGAAAATATAGAGAAAAAAATTAAAAAGGGCCTAGAGCAGACATGAGCAAAGTACGGCCCGTGGGCCAAATCTGGCCCATTGGGCAATTCAATCTGGCCCGCCTGATGCTGCCACAACCGGACCGAAATCAAATTTTGATGTTTTAGCTAAAAATACCTCAAGGAATTTGTTGAGATTGCGGTTAAATTTAGTTTTGGCATGAGGCATATTGTTTTCTATGGTTGCATTTGTAACACTGTAAATATTGTTCATAAAATGTAACTTTCTGCGTCACACTTACATGGTCCGCCAGTCTAGGTGTGCAATATTTTTTGCCCCTGGTTCATAAACCCTGCCCACTCCTGAGCTAAAGTCACAAGTCGAGACGCTGACTTGAGTCCTCAAAAAACTAGTTGCCAGAAATACACTTAACATTTGAAGATTTTTTAAAAAAGGATTTTCACTGTGGATGGTTATAGTACATAGCCTTGTTCCCAAGTATTAAAGCAATCCTTAGTAAAACAAATATCGCGATCAGGTATGTACGAGAGTAATTGAATATTTGAATTCATTGCTGCTGGCTTTCAAAACGCTTGTTTACAACATTATACTGTGACTGAATTCGAGCCTGAAATGTCAATCATTACGATCGGGTCGGGTTGGCTTCTCTATCGCTGACTTTCTTTTTAAATAATAATATGTTTATAAAAAATATATAGGCTACTAAAACTATGTGTGGAATTCGAAGATATCATAAATAAAATATGAAATTTCTGGTTTGCTTCGGGCTCGGGCCTGCAATCCAGATAATTAGTCGGGGTCTGGTCGGGTTTAATACCCACGGTCCCGGGTCGGGCCGGAATTTTTGGGCTCAATCTTACCTCTACTTTATGCCCTACCCATATTGTGATTGCTTGCTTTAATTCGTTGTGTACATGGAAATACCGTACTCAATTTTTTGTGTGGCCCTACTAGATGCCAGAAGTTGGTTATATGGCCCGCAGACAAAAAATGCTGCACACCTCAGATTTATCCCCTAAGGGACTGGTCCCATTCCAAAAAATAGTATCTCTTTCCATAGCTTTTCAGAAATTAAGGACTTTCCTGATATACGGTATTTTCCATTCCAATGCTACTTAAGATGTGATGATGAATATGGGAATAAAATTTAAAACCTCTAACCCAGTGGTTCTCAAACGATGAGGTGCGCCCCCCCACAAGGGGTATAAACAATTTTTGAGGGGGAAATAAAATAATTGTTAGATTCGATCTTACCCGCCTTATTTTAGATATTTACATTTTTTTGTTTCGGATATTTACATTCTATCCAAGTATTTCCACCTTACGCCTTACTATCTGTTATTTGTAGCTTATTGTTAGCTAGTTATTTCTGAGGTGGGGCACGAGACTTGACAAATTCTAAAAAGGAGGCGCGGCTCAAAAAGCTTGAGAACCATTGGAACCAACATTAACCCAAACCTATCTTCTTACCATTCTACAGTATTCGATAATTCCTTCAAAGATTTTATTAGCGTCATTTTCTTGCTTTAATCTCAATTGTTCCATCATAATACTCTCAACTTTAAATGTTGCATTCAAGTCTGTACTTTCTAAAGATGATGTCTGTTAAAATATATAAAAATGTTAGCAAAATGGTGGGCGCTCCAGAAGTATGTGAACCAATATGAAGGTAACTAATTTTGTTTGCCTACTTTACATCAAGTTGTGTAAAGGGACTGAAACGTATGGGCAGGGGGATATTCACTTGGCTAACACAGACAGTCCCCAAACTCGAAATAGAACTAAAATAAGGAAAATCGGAATAAAATTATGGCTTAACCCTAACCTGGTACACATACTACCGGAGTACCCTGAAGTCTATTCTAAAATCTAAAAATTTCAACTTTATTTCCAGTACTTTAATCATTCATTAACACCTTGAGACCTTGCTTATAGCAAACCTGATTAACAAGAGTAACACACCATAAGTAGCCCCCCCTCTCTCCCCAAATGCTATGTTAGCAAACTTTAAGCCAACTAATGTATACAACAGTATCCAATACTCCTTATTCAACTGTTTTAATAATAATCCCCTATTTTACAAAAGTGTTGCAATTCAATAAATTAAGTAGCTTAGTATCCCAGATATAGTGGATTAGACTCTTACTTGATAAGGAGATTAAAAGGTTCTAATAATATGATGAAGTGTGCTTTGTAAACTAGGATTTAAGATTTCTGGATTTATGATTAAAGAGAGAGAGAGAGAGAGAGAGAGAGAGAGAGAGAGAGAGAGAGAGAGAGAGAGAGGGTGCGAAAGAGTTTGATAAATATCTTGGATCAGCAATAACGGCCATGTTTACGGTATCGGTTTTTGTATCGATATCAACTAAATGTAGACGGATAAATTTAGTTATTAATCTGATCCAGAATGTTTTAAAATATAAGTTAGAAAATAAATGGTAAAATTTAATTTTTGTGTAGAGGGGATGATATTCGTGGTATTTGCCTCGCCCCCATCCCCGCGAGTAGATTCTGACCTTTTATCTGCCTCCACTGATATACACCGAGATTCGAACCCTGGACCTCATACTCACCGATAATGTTGATATCCTTTCTCTTAAACTCATTCTTGTTGATGGTAGCCCGCTAGTAGAAGGTGCCTGTGACAGGGCTTGAACCTGTGGTCTGCTCCTTGGCTTGGGTTCTCTCTCAAGTTTTGTTAGAAGCGCTGTAAAGAATATATTAGTACATCAGTGCTTCCGAAAACAAGTAACTGGCTAACTAATCCCATACCCGACCTGGACTGATAACCGGACGAGAGGCCGTGGTTTGCCATATGATGATGCCGTCTTATCAGCTTTCCTCTCCCCCAGGATAAATATGTAAATCCTATCCTATATGCATAAGAAGAAATCTATTGATAAACATATGATAATCCAAGTTCAATATACCGTATATTCTCGCATATAAGCCAAGTTCAAAAAGTCAAAAATAAATTGCCAAACTAAGGGCATCGGCTTAAACGCGCATAACTTTGATCGCACAAAGGGTTTGACAGTGATGGTAAAGATGAACTTGAAGGATTTTGAAAGACTTACCGTTATTGATAACAGTAAACATAACAATAATGGTTATCATTTTCATGAACACTCTTCTGCAACAATATTCTATGATAGGTGCGTACGGCGTGTTACGATTTGTCGGCTATGCGAATTTTTATAAACTCACCCGTTTTGGGCGGTCGCCTTAAATGCAAGGATATATGGTATATCATATACATGAGGAATCTATTGTTACACATATAAAAAGGTTGGTTATGACAACTGATTAAGATGATAAACATATTGATATCAAATCATTGATAAGGTGATAAATTTAGTATATACGATAGGTTATGTCTCAATTTTATGATAAGATTACTGATATGCTGCTTAGATAGAATAATATGATCAGAGAACCGATTATATAAGCATTTGATATAGAAAGTTACTGATAAAACGTTATTTATATAATATTAGATATTTTGTTTCTTGTTAACTATATGATAAAGATTTCCTCAGATAATAAACGATCAGATAACAGTATAAGTAAGACAGTTTAGATAAGATAACAAAAACCCCTCTATCAGTCTTTTATCTATCAAAATGGGCAATAAAAAAAAGCTTTGATACTGACTTGGAGGTATTGGTGCCACCATACCATCCGGACGAGGGTTTCCGCAAATTCCACAATATGTCAACCCAGGGTTGTTGGAAGTAGTGCATTGCTGACATGTCCAACTGAAATTGAATTATTATTTATTGAGTTTCACTTATACACTGGTGCGTCACTCACTCTAAAGAAAAGGAGACATCTCCAAGCAAAGTTACAGCTACAGACGATATACATAGTTATGATGATGTACTAAGCACATTCACTCAGAAATAAAAGAGACTCATCTCTGAGCTAAGTTACGGGCACTCACTCAGAAGTAAAGGAGACTCATCTCTGAGCAAAGTTACAGGAACTCACTCAGAAGTAAAGAAGACTCCTCTCTTAGCAAAGTTACAGGAACTCACTCAGAAGTAAAGAAGACTCATCTCTGAGCAAAATTACGGGCACTCACTCAGAAGTAAAGGAGACTCATCTCTTAGCAAAGTTACAGGAACTCACTCAGAAGTAAAGGAGACTCATCTCTGAGCAAAGTTACAGGAACTCACTCAGAAGTAAAGGAAACTCATCTCTTAGCAAAGTTACAGGCACTCACTCAGAAGTAAAGGAGACTCATCTCTGAGCAAAGTTACAGGCACTCACTCAGAAGTAAAGGAGACTCATCTCTGAGCAAAGTTACAGGCACTCACTCAGAAGTAAAGGAAACTCATCTCTTAGCAAAGTTACAGGCACTCACTCAGAAGTAAAGGAGACTCATCTCTGAGCAAAGTTACAGGCACTCACTCAGAAGTAAAGGAGACTCATCTCTGAGCAAAGTTACAGGCACTCACTCAGAGGTAAAGGAGACTCATCTCTGAGCAAAGTTACAGGCACTCACTCAGAGGTAAAGGAGACTCATCTCTGAGCAAAGTTACAGGCACTCACTCAGAAGTAAAGGAGACTCATCTCTGAGCAAAGTTACAGGCACTCACTCAGAGGTAAAGGAGACTCATCTCTGAGCAAAGTTACAGGCACTCACTCAGAAGTAAAGGAGACTATCTCTGAGCAAAGTTACAGCACTCACCAGAAGTAAAGGAGACTCATCTCTGAGCAAAGTTACGGCACTCACTCAGAAGTAAAGGAGACTCATCTCTGAGCAAAGTTACAGGCACTCACTCAGAAGTAAAGGAGTCATCTCTTAGCAAAGTTACAGGCACTCACTCAGAAGTAAAGGAGACTCATCTCTGAGCAAAGTTACAGCACTCACTCAGAAGTAAAGAGACTCATCTTGAGCAAAGTTACAGGACTCACTCAGAAGTAAAGGAGACTCATCTCTGAGCAAAGTTACAGGACTCACTCAGAAGTAAAGGAGACTCATCTCTGAGCAAAGTTACGGGCACTCACTCAGAAGTAAAGGAGACTCATCTCTGAGCAAAGTTACAGGGCACTCACTCAGAAGTAAAGGAGACTCATCTCTGAGCAAAGTTACGGGCACTCACTCAGAAGTAAAGGAGACTCATCTCTGAGCAAAGTTACAGGAACTCACTCAGAAGTAAAGGAGACTCATCTCTGAGCAAAGTTACGGGCACTCACTCAGAAGTAAAGGAGACTCATCTGAGCAAATCAGTTAGAGCATGGTTACAGGACTCACTCAGAAGTAAAGAGACTCATCTCTGAGCAAAGTTACGGCACTCACTCAGAAGTAAAGGAGACTCATCTCTGAGCAAAGTTACAGGACTCACTCAGAAGTAAAGGAGACTCATCTCTGAGCAAAGTTATGACTCACTCAGAAGTAAAAGAGACTCATCTCTGAGCAAAGTTACAGGAACTCACTCAGAAGTAAAGGAGACTCATCTCTGAGCAAAGTTACAGGCACTCACTCAGAAGTAAAGAATACTCATCTCTGAGCAAAGTTACGGGCACTCACTCAGAAGTAAAGAGACTCATCTCTGAGCAAAGTTACAGGCACTCACTCAGAAGTAAAGAATACTCATCTCTGAGCAAAGTTACGGGCACTCACTCAGAAGTAAAGGAGACTCATCTCTTAGCAAAGTTACAGGCACTCACTCAGAAGTAAAGAATACTCATCTCTGAGCAAAGTTACGGGCACTCACTCAGAAGTAAAGGAGACTCATCTCTGAGCAAAGTTACGGGCACTCACTCAGAAGTAAAGGAGACTCATCTCTGAGCAAAGTTACAGGCACTCACTCAGAAGTAAAGAAGACTCATCTCTGAGCAAAGTTACGGGCACTCACTCAGAAGTAAAGAGACTCATCTCTGAGCAAAGTTACAGGCACTCACTCAGAAGTAAAGGAGACTCATCTCTGAGCAAAGTTACGGCACTCACTCAGAAGTAAAGGAGACTCATCTCTGAGCAAATTACGGCACTCACTCAGAAGTAAAGGAGACTCATCTCTGAGCAAAGTTACAGGACTCACTCAGAAGTAAAGGAGACTCATCTCTGAGCAAAATTACGGGCACTCACTCAGAAGTAAAGGAGACTCATCTCTGAGCAAAGTTACAGGAACTCACTCAGAAGTAAAGAGACTCATCTCTGAGCAAAATTACGGGCACTCACTCAGAAGTAAAGGAGACTCATCTCTGAGCAAAGTTACAGGAACTCACTCAGAAGTAAAGAAGACTCATCTCTGAGCAAAGTTACGGCTACTCACTCAGAAGTAAAGGAGACTCATCTCTGAGCAAAGTTACAGGAACTCACTCAGAAGTAAAGAGACTCATCTCTGAGCAAAGTTACGGGCACTCACTCAGAAGTAAAGGAGACTCATCTCTGAGCAAAGTTACAGGAACTCACTCAGAAGTAAAGGAGACTCATCTCTGAGCAAAGTTACGGGCACTCACTCAGAAGTAAAGAGACTCATCTCTGAGCAAAGTTACAGGCACTCACTCAGAAGTAAAGGAGACTCATCTCTGAGCAAAGTTACGGGCACTCACTCAGAAGTAAAGAATACTCATCTCTGAGCAAAGTTACGGGCACTCACTCAGAAGTAAAGGAGACTCATCTCTGAGCAAAGTTACGGGCACTCACTCAGAAGTAAAGAATCATCTCTGAGCAAAGTTACGGGCACTCACTCAGAAGTAAAGAGACTCATCTCTGAGCAAAGTTACTGGCACTCACTCAGAAGTAAAGGAGACTCATCTCTGAGCAAAGTTACCGGAACTCACTCAGAAGTAAAGGAGACTCATCTCTGAGCAAAGTTACAGGAACTCACTCAGAAGTAAAGGAGACTCATCTCTGAGCAAAGTTACAGCCACTCACTCAGAAGTAAAAGAGGACTCATCTCTGAGGCAAGGTTACAGCCACTCATCAGAAGTAAGGAGACTCACTCTGGCAAAGTTACAGGAACTCACTCAGAAGTAAAGGAGACTCATCTCTGAGCAAAGTTACGGGAACTCACTCAGAAGTAAAAGAGTAAAAGTAAAACACCAATTTCAAATCTTAAAAAAATATAATGCAAACTTACTCATCTACAAATGCTTTTGATTTGACCCTGGCTTCAGTCTGGTGAAGTATTTTATCATTTGGGAATTCTTTTTTCTGACTTGAAGATGGAGGGGGTTCCCCAGGTAAGGTTGGGGGGTCACTGTATTAAAAAAAATGGATAAGTTAGGACAGAGGAGTTCAACCTGCAGCTCACAAGGAAAAATTGTCCGGCCCCCGGATAAGTGCCAATTTTTGTGCCAACGCATGTCATAAGATTAAATAATCAAAATTGACAGCAACTACTGGAAAGCATATGTTAAATAAAGGTGTGGACCGCAGTTTCTCCCAGTTATTCGTATCCTATTGAATTAAAGGCACACCCATGAGTTGAGACAAGTAATAACAAAAACCGGACTGCCTAAACCAGGGTGGTCCAAACCCAGGCCCGCACGTGGCACGCCGCTTCATTCTCTGTGGCCCGCGTCACATTCGGAGAGTAATCAAAAAATCACATTTCTTGTTGTTTCGTAATAAAAATCTTTTGACATATTGTTACATCACTAATGTCACTGAATTGACTAGTGCTATAGCTAGCTGAGGCAACTAGCGAAGCTTAAATGATGTGCTTGGCAGTCTAAATAAATATCTGTCTATGCAAAAATAAATTTGTGGCCCGCGGAGCCTACAACCTTGGACCACCCTGGCCTAGACCATAGGTTCTCAAAGTGCTCCGTACGGAGCCCCAGGGCTCCGCAAGAGAAACCCAGGGGCTCCGCGAGCTATTCGATTACTTTTTAAAATACTGACTAATTTCGTAACTGTTCAAAGAAGCAATAACAGCTTTGATAATATATGACAACAGTATAGCCTCGAAATATGGCAAAGAGGCGGAATTAAAAAATGACATTATTTATAAGCAGGAGCGCAGCAAGGATTCTCAAGAGGGAGGTGGTTCAAAATTGGAATCGGAAATTTCCGCGCAACATTTTTTGCGATTAAAAAAACGGATAACGAGATTTCTGTTGCGTAAAATATTCAATCCATGTCCATGTCCACATATTCAATCGTTACTCACGTTTGATTCGAGATTACTATTAGGATTACTAAAATGAAAGCATACTATTCTAAAATAACATAAAATACGTGATAAACTGCCAACTATAAATAAATTGGAGTCGCATTTTTGCGATCTTGGAATTTGTCAAACTTGATTCGTTCTTTCGCACTTAAGATTATTTTTAAGCAAGATATCGCCGTTTAAAAAATCGCAATGTCTGGGCAAAATACAAACAATTGAAATTTATTTTATGGCATTCGGCTCCGTTGGTACATCGCGGATCGCGCGCACAATTGATTGCGTGCGGCTCCGTCGGTAGTTTCAAAATGGGAAAAAAAGGTACATCGCGCGCACAATTGACTGTGTTTCGATTTCGCAGTTACTACTACGATGAAAACCTAACATAACACCAAATTTTGTGATTTACAATGTCTATAAAAGCGTTTTCAATCTGAGGCGAGTCTGCTGAAACCAAACGTGTGATCTTCCATTTTAAGTTTTAGTTTTAATATTTTAGAATGCCGCTTTTCAATCAAGAAATGTGAGCTGCGGATTTACCTCTTTATTAATTATTATTTTTAGCATTTCATCGTCGATGACTATAATATGGTAACATACTTTTCACATTCAACTGATGATTCCCCACGAGAACAAAAAAGCAATTAACGTCGTCATTGTGTAACAATACATGTATATGCTGATCGACCCCTAATTTATTAGTATGTTTGTCAAGTGTCAAATTTACAGCTTTAGTATATATATATAATTTATGCTTAAAATTTAGTTTTATTTATGACTTGCATCAACCCTATTAAAAAAGGTTCAGCATTTAAATTAGGTAAAGTACTTTTAACTTGCTCAGGAATATTAATCTGAAAGTAATAATTTTAACATTTATTTTGGGGCTCCGTGAATAATAGTCAACCTTTTCAAGGGCTCCGCAACACCAAAAGTTTGAGAACCCCTGGCCTAGACTATGCTGACACGTTCAAAATATAATTTTTTTAAATATGAGGTATTTAGTCATCTTATAATAATCTTTTTTCTATCCCTGAATAAATATAAAATACCCTCTCCATTTGTACAGTGTATTGTTCCGAGTGAAAAACACAAAATACAAATCGGTAGGGTTCTGATGTTCAAATTGACTATGCCAATGTCTCAGGTACAAAACACATACCCAAACCTAATTACTTACTTTGGATACCAAGGTGGCCTTCCATCATGACATATCACACAGTATTGGGCAGTCCTTTCATTATGATACGTGCATTGCGGACATGCCCATTTTATTTCTATCGTTGTGCTACTAATAAGCATATCTCCTGGGTCTGGTGGACCTCCTCGACTCGTCCCTGGAACTGAATTTGATGATCCAGGCTGTGAGGGTAAAATGGAACGTGGTGTTTTTCTTCTAGCGCCACCTGACGGTACACTGCTCGCAGTTGATGAGCTGCCAGAAGCAGGAGGTTCTAGAAATGAAAAACTTTTTGTCAATAGAAAATTAGTTTATTTGTTTTTACACCTTCAATAAAAATAGTGCTCTGTGCAATAGAGCTAAGATCTGAAACCCGACCCGAAATTTCGGGTCGGGCTTGATATGTCAATCATCGCGTTCGGGTCGGTTACCCCTCTGTCCATTTGCCCCGCATTGTCAAATGAATATGCAGATTATAGAGCTCACAAAATACAAAAGGAAAATGTGTCCCAACATTCCCCCTATACTGTAATAAGCTATTGCAATGACAATTCAAAGAACCCCTAAATAAAATATGAAATTTTGTTTGCTTCGGGCTTGAGTCGGGCCTTCAAATCCAGTTAGTTAGTCGGGCTCGGGTCGGGTTTATTACCCACAGGCACGGACAGCAAACACTGATTCAGGGGGCGAAGGGAGATTTATGGAAAGACTCATTCTAGGTTATCCTTAATAAATTACACACTGGGTGTGGTGCAGTTGGCATGTGGATTTAAACAAAGGCCCTAGACCAGGGGAGGGTAAGGTTTTCGGATCAGGGGCCGAGTGTGAAGTAAAAAGTTACATTTTAAGATCATGACCAACCAGCTTTCAGGGTTGGTGTGTCTTGGGTGTTACTTTGATTATGTTTATGGGCATTTACTAATTATACGTTTCTATTGAGTAAACAATTTCTGCCTGAACGATATAAAAAAATACCTCCAATAAGTGCTTGGTGTCTCATTCTGCAGCCAAAGTATAGTTATATACAATCCTATATCTAATATTGCAATTTATATAATAATTTTTTGTGTAGCTTAAATATAGAAACAAGTGTTATAGTAGATCCCAGACAGTATAGACTTAAAGTACTTCAAGTACTGTATATCCTCGCATGTAAGCCAAGTTTACAACTCAAAAAATTTGACAAACTAAATATTCTGATTATACGTGCATAACTCAGATCGCACTAAATAATTTGATTATACATGCATATCTCTGATCGCACTGAAGGGTTGGCTTATACTAAAATGAATTTGAAGGATTTTAAGACACTTCTTATCGTTATTAATAAAAGTGAAACATAATAATAATGGTTATCAATTTATCATTTTCATTAATTCTCTTCTGCAACAATTTTCTGTGATAGGACGTGTTGCGATACGTACGGTCGGCTCATATGCGAATTTCCATAAATTAACTGTTTCAGGGCCGTTTTTATGGGGTCGCCTTAGGATATATGGTGCTTGGGCACTCAATTCGGTACTCCTGTAGTATGTGTACCAAATTAGAGTTAGGTCATAATTTTATTTTTATTTACCTTATTTTAGTTCTATTACGAGTTTGGAGACTGGCTATGTTAGCCAAGTGCCCCCTGCCCATAGGTTTCAGTCCCTTTACACAACTTGATGTAAATTAGGGGAACAAAATTAGTTCCTTACATATTGGTACACACACTTCTGGAGAGTCCTCAAGTCTTTCCCTTCTTTACTTACTGACCGTAATGAAACCTGTAACTCAATGCTCTAGTTTATCAGACTATACTATCACACAACACACAGACAGCTCAACTTGCAAATGCTTTGACTAGATCGTCCTATTCATAACTCGCTTTCCTGTGAGTCACAGGCAATCAGAGCAGTGTTCCTCCTCACATGAAACACGATCAGTGTTCCCTTAACAGATATTTGGGTACTCCCCCAGTATGTGAACCAAGATGGCGGACACCTGCACATGGTATGAGTACCAGGTCAGGGTCAGGCCATGATTTTATTCCAATTTTCCTTATTTTAGGTTCTATTACAAGTTTGGGGACTAGCCAAGTGACTCCCGTAGTATTTGTATCTGAAATTATGGCATGATCCTAACCTGGTACACGTACTACGTTCCGGTGTCCGCTATCTTGTGGCACATACAACAGGAATACCCAAATAGGTTCCTGGCTATGAGTTAACTCTCGTTTCACAATCTAGGAAGGAAATTTACTGTTTTGAGGGAAAAATTTTACTTTGCATTTGTGTGAAGTATTACCGTTATTCTTTGATTCTTCAGCAATATTATAAACCAGTGATTCCCAAACTTTTCAATATCGTTCCCCCTAAATAAAATTACCGAATCCTTATTACCCCTTCCATATAAAAACAGTAGTTATGTTGTTACCACTTTTTCTTTGATCAAAAATTGTGATTATACTAACACCTATTGCATTTTCCGATCCAAATTTTGAGATGCTTAACTAGCGCTAGCTCATCATTTTATCCTTTTATCTGTATGATGAAGTACTGTTATTATGTTCCTACAGAGCGCGTGACTAGACGACTAGGCTCATTAAATAGATGCAAGGATTACATGGCCGCTTAACTTCGCGTTGCCGGCGGCAAAGCACCAGACTATTGTTCCACTTAGGCGGGATTCTGTCTAGATCAGCCTTTTGGGGTAATCACCCCCAGTTTGTTAAACACTGATATAGACTATTCAAACTGTGGAAAAGCTAAAGTTTGAGAATTTTTAATAAAAATTGCCCAAAGCAAGATAAGGTGCACTGACTCAAAAATATAGGCAATTGATTTTTGACTAAAGTTCTAAAAACTGCTGACACTATAAAAAATTATTATGATGTAGAACAGTGTCTTTTATGGCTCCCCTTCTGAAGGCTTGTTCCCGGCCCCTTTCGTTTTTCATTCTAATGGTATTTATAGTGTTATTTTGATTGATTGATTCCGAATCCTATTATGTTCGGACAATTCATGCTCAACAAAGTGAAAACACCCTATGAAATAACCTTATCAAGTAATTAAACTAGGAAAAACTACAAGTTTCTTGCCAAGGTAAAAGTAAGTTTTGTGCTCGGCACTTTGGCCCCCCTCTAACTGCTCTGTGGCCCGCCCAAGCGACCCTCGGGTGATAACAGCTGGCGTAGAATTTTGCGGTAGTAAATAAAGCATAAAAGCCTTATGCACGGCAGATAATTCAGACAGCCATACGTTCTGAAGTGACAAAACCGCCATTTTCAGATTTATTGGTTCATAGTAATTCAGTTAAATATTAACCAGGTTTATGTTACCACAGATTTTATTGACCAGACGTTATTAAAGGTTGTAGCAGTAAAAATAAAAGATACCAAGATATTGATCCAAGGTTTTATTAATGAATATAACAATGCTACTACTGTTTTCTGACTTCTTCCAAAACTGGCTAAATTTGCTGAATATTTTATAAATTTAACACAGTGGTTCTCACACTTTTTAAGCTGTGCCCACCTTTTCTAGATTATGTCAAGTCTCGTGCCCATCTGATAAAAATAACTAGCTAACAATAAGCTACAAATAACATATAGTAAGGCAAAAGTATGTTTCATTCAAAAAACACGTTGAAAATACTTGTATGGAACGTAGATATCCAAAATGAAGGAAATGCGGGCAAGATCGAATCCAGCAATTATTTGCAGGTGCTCCCGAAGTATGCGAACCAAGATGGCAGACATCGGAACGTAACATTGGTAACAGGTTAGGGTTAGGCGATAATTTTTTTCCAATTTTCCTTATTTTAGTCCTATTATCAGTTCGAAGACTAGCCAAGAGCCTCCCGTAGTATTTATACCTAAAATTATGGCCTAACCCTAACCTAGTACACATATTACATTCCGATGTCCGCCATCTTGGTTCGCATACTTCGAGAGCCCCTATTTTTATTTTCAACGTCCCTCAATAAAGTGTCTGTGCCCCCCTTGTGAGGTGCGCACCACTGTTTGAGTACCACTGTTCTACCAGAAGATTTAACATCAGGCAGGCAGGCAGGCAGTTTACAACAATGACAATAAATATTCTCTAATCACTCAAATCCTCTGGAAATTCCAATATTTAACCTATCTAACCATTGAAAGACCACCATCATATTACAAACAATAGGCTCTGTGATACACAATAGCCTACTTTCTATAAATAGACGACGGCACAAAGCATTATGACAACATATTGAATGAATTGGTTTCTCGGAAACATAAAAATTACGCTCTACCAAGGTTGGGAAGTAGTTAAATCAAGCCATTTCTCCGCTTTTAATTATATTGCGCATCAGCTGACAGGATTAGCACTATTGTGTTACAATTTCCTCAAAATTTTTTCTTTTACCATGTGCAGCCATCTGAGTAAGAGCAACGAGCAACATCTGAGCCTATACGAGCAACGAGTAATATTCAAGGACATGCATACAGATACTATTATTTTGGGAGGATTTCTGGTTTTACACCACGTGTAAGGTGAGGGAGATGGGATTTGAACTTGAGAGATGTAATCTGCTGTGCTATGATCGACTCGACTTCAAAATTAGAATTTCACTAACTAACTAAGATGACCTTCAACTCGAATTTATGGACATTTACCCACTACTGGACATTTTACTAAACTATAGCTGGAGCATAGTCTGTTCTAGCTTCATCAAGTATAATGGAACGAGAATCCACTCTTGAAATTTATACTGTCATAAATTAAATTAGCGACCCCAAATATGGCCTATGTGGTACCGACGCCACACATCAGTGGTCTGAAGGATGTAATTAATAGTCGCAAGGCGAAGCGAGGTTTTTCTTTGGTTAGCGTGCTCAAAATTGCTACATCTTGTACATTGTTTTCTTTTTCTATTTCAGTAATGTTTAGGTTAATAAAACCTTCAAATCAGTCAACAACTGCAGGTTGCGACCTCGCAGAGGGACGCGCGACAAATTTTAGGGGTCACAAAGAGTAAAATATACAAAATCTGTAGTACTTTTTTAGATTTCTGATTTCAAACACAATTATTAAACCTAGTGCAAAACATAGATCTCACGATTTCGAGAAAATATATAGGATCGGAGACGCGACACGATTGCATAACAATGCTGACAAACGGGGGTCGCGAAAAAGTTGTGATATTGAAAGTTTTGGAAGCCCTGGTCTAAATGAATTTTTCTCGAATGATTTCACTACACACACTGTTCCAACACCACCACCAGTATCAAGGCAAGCCCTTTTGTCTTGTGAT